GGCGGCCGGCCCCCCTCGCCCCGCGCACCTGGCGCCCCCTCCCTGAAGGGCACGCTGTCCTCCCGGGCGGCCCGCCTCCTTCCCACCCCCGCGCTCCTAACGGTCGCCCTCCGGCCCCTCGGCAGCCCTGCCCGGCCCCCTCCCGTCCACCCGCATCCTCCGCCGGGCCCGCCCGGGGGCCCCCGACCCTAATGCCCGACACTCCCGGGAGACTTCCCCAGTGTGTCTCTGGGCTCTTGTCGGAATTTGCTGGGCCCTGCGGGTCTTAAAGTCCAGGCGTTCCATGACTTTGGCCAACGTGGAAGCCTTCCCTCTTCACCGAAGCACCTCCGCTGGGTCTTCACCTAAATTTCCTTTCGACGGGCGACATTAGTGCTTGGTCATTGGGGTCTCCTTCCTCCTTGTTGCCCGGCCGTTACTAACACCTTAGTCTTTTCCTGTCTCCAGGCCAGGCTCTTCCCAGCCCAGCGCTTCTAATGCAGCAGCTCCCTGGCCATGGCCCCTCACAGTTTGCCTCTTCCCCTCCCCAAGTTAACTTGAAAGAGACCCTCATCTTGCATTTCTTACCCAGTCATTACCACAATTCCCAGTAAGCTTCCTGGTCTGGTCTTTCATAGGGCTCCAGCCCTGGGAGATGCTAAGTCAGTTGCTGGCCTCAGATTTCCGCCACTCACCCCAGGCTCACTCCCCTCTTGCTTCTTACTGCTGCTTACCCAGAACTCACCCTGCACACCGCCTCTCCACTGTCCCTTCCAGCTGACATGCCAGTTGTACCTTGGCGCCCCCCAACCCCTGGTCTCTTCATCCCAAGCCCCATGGATACCGACAGGCTGGTCCCTTTGCCACTCAGGATGTGGGAGTTTGCCCTCAGGATCCCTCATCTGTACTTTTCCCTGTGCAGTCCCAGGCCACCAATCCCTCACCCAGCTCCAGCTTTATTTCCTAGTTGTAGGTCTCCTGTGTAATTGGGAAGGGCTGAAACAAATCTGGGCTTGGTGTTGCTGCCATGGGGCCTTAAGGGTCCCGTATGGTGATTACAGTCAAGTGAGTTGTGTTCCTAGACCTCTGGCCTGCTTTTTTTTAGCCATTGGACAAGTTAGTTTTGTGATCTGATGAATCCAGGGACCCCAGTGTGCCCTTGTCTGTGGTTGGAGTTAGGAATAGAAAAAGCAGCCCCACTTTGGAACAGAAAGGGAGGAGAGTTTGCTATGTGAAAGATTTAAAAAATTCTAAGAAGAAATTTAAAGCGGCTTAAAACTATCCCTTTTCCAGTCTCAAATAGTGTCTAGGAACATGGGGTCCCCTGTGGGGTCAGCTGCATCCTCCCTCCCTTGTTTTCCCTGGCTGGGTCCCAAGACTGGGCAAGTAGGCAGAAGGGATCAAGTGAGGTAAAGTGTGAAAGCGCTTTGAAAACTTAACCAGTACACATGCCAACGGGTGTTCTTTCTCGTGATGGCTCAGAGAAGTAGAGAGCTGTGCTAACTGACCAGGCGGGGGGGGGGGGTACACGGTTGTACCCCTTCCTAAGCCTCCCAGTTATCCTACCATGCATGGAGAATCTTTCTATCCTGAGAAAGGGTGGAGTCATCTCCCAACAGGCTCGGAACTGGGCTGTTTGCTGGTTGCTCAGATGTTGGGGAATTTGGGACTCCACTTCTGTTAATAGTGGTACCTCCTTGTGCCAAGGCACATTGCTCTGGAATGGGGCTAATTTTAGGGGTGATGGAATGAGGAAATAACGTTAACTGAACATGTCCTAGGGCTGCCTATTCTTTGCATCTTTTTCTTCTGAGAGTTCTGAACCCCAGAGAACAGGCTTCCCTCCCGTTCTGCCAGCCTGTTGTGAGCACCCTGGACCAGTATGTGTCCTCTCCTCTCAACTCCAGCAGGGGGCAGCCTTTTAATAGCGATCATTCCAATGCCAGGAGAGGCATACTGAGGCCTGAGAACGAAGACAGGACAGGCAGGGACAGAGGGAGCGCGAGTAGGGAGATGAGGCAGAGAGAAGGTAGGACCACGGGGTGGCAGGTAAGCTGGAAGGAGTCTGTGAGGAGATCCTTAGAACAGGAAGCCCGGAAAGGGTGCTGTGCCCAATGCTGTCTGCTCCCTGTCCCGGCTCTTTCTTCCCTGGGAAGGGACCCAAACAGTTGGCTTTGAGAGTTTGTGATAGAGAAACTTAGCAGAACGTTTTAAATCTGTTCTTGAGGATTTCCCTCCTGGCAGGATTTCAGATATCTCTCATGGGATAGCGTAATTAGGAAACGATTTCCTTGCTTGGTCTTCAGTGGGGAGACCGAACTCGAATCAGTTGCTCTCTCGTCTTCGTTCTTCCCAAACAGCAAATAGGCTTTACCTGCGCTGGTGATACGGAGGAAGGGCCCTCCACCTTGGCAGTGTTGCTGTGTTGGGCCAGCTGCCTCCCTGTGTGTTCTGGCCAGCGTAGCAGCATGCCCGCCCTTCGCCTGTTAGATGCCAGTAGCACCTTCCAGCCACGCCCACCAAAGCTACCTGCAGATACTGCCATGTGTCCTCTGGGGAGCACAGCCCCCCTCCCCCATTGAGAACCACTGGCTTGGAAGAAACCTGGAGAAGACTCCCTCGGGTCTGCAGGGCTGGGCACCATGGGGCGGCTCGGGAGCTGCTTGGCCACGCTTTCTGCGGTTTGGGGAGCAGCCAGCGGCCACCAGCTGCCGGGACTTGGTGGCTGGGCTTACCTGGAGACGTGACTTTTTTCTCCAGCTGCCCCTCTGCTTCCTCTGCCCTGACTGCCTTTTCCTTACTTCCACAGTTGCGCTGCTTCTCACACCGGGAGCCACTCCTCCTCGGTCTGCTCCTTAAAGCCGGGACAGAAAGGCGAAGGCCAGAAGCGGAAGCATCCGGGAGAGCCGCCTTTGCCACTCCCTGGAAGGGAGGGAGGGTGAGTTGTCCCCTGTCCCCGGAGCAGCCTTCCACACCCACAGGGCTCTTCTGTCCCCCATCTTCCCCTTGAAGAAGATGTGGCTCTTCTGGAATGAGCTGCAGGAAGCTCAGAACAGTCTTTCCTCAGGTTTGCTTGAAGGGATATGGGGTGTTTTCCTTCGGGTGAGGAAGACTTAGGTATGCAGTAGCTATTCCCAAATGTCTTTTTTTTTTTTCCTAAACCTTATTTATTTATTTATTTATTTTTAAAAAGATTTTATTTATTTATTTGACAGACAGAGATTACAAGTAGGCAGAGAGGCAGGCACAGAGAGAGAGGAGGAAGCAGGCTCCCTGCTAAGCAGAGAGCCCGATGTAGGGTTCAATCCCAGGACCCTGGGATCGCGACCTGAGCCAAAGGCAGAGGCTTTAACCCACTGAGCCACCCAGGCACCCCTCCTAAACCTTTTTTAAAATGGTGGTTAAATATACCATTTAATTGAGTTTTCAGCCTAGTTTTTGAGTGTCCGGTTCTGTGAGGTTAAGTATGTTCGCGTTTTGCAGCTGTCACCACGGTCCGGCTCTGGAGCGGCTTCATTTGCCCCCTTCAGGCCGAAACTCAGTACCCCTTTCACTGAAGAGCTCCCCGCTCTCCTCACCCCCCAGCCCTGACCTGGTCCTTCTCCTCTTCGTTTCTAAACTGGATTCTTCAGGATTCGCACATGAGAGGAATCCTGTGGTATTTTTCTTTTGTGACTGCGTGGTTTCCTGTGGCATAATGTCTTCAAGGTTGATTCATGGGTCAAATAAAGTAGGGGTGTTAGCATGGGAAGAACGAACCCCGCTCTGTCGTCCTGGGAGGCCTGCCTCAGTCCAGTGAAAGGGAGAGCTTTGGAACAGATGAGTTTCCTGACGGCCACGTGTGCCATGGGGTGCTCCGTCACCAGCAGTGGCCACTTGGGACTGCTTTGAAGTAAAGCCCGCACCGGGGGATGTCCCCCAGTTCCAGATGCTCTCCAGAGCCTCATTTCCTGCTGGGATTCTGCGACCGGGTCCTGCCTCTGTTAGGGCATTTTCCTTCATCTTCCCATGTGCAGCTGTAAGTGAGAGTGGTGAGAATCCGCTCCTCCTTTCTTGCCAGAGTTGTGTGGAGTCGTGGACTTGATGGAAACTGTGGAGGCCCTGGGGTGCAGCCTCCCCACCAGCCAGTGAGGGAAGCCCCCGTGCAGCTCCCTGAGACCTTGCCCACCTGTCCTCACTTGGAACCACCAGGGATGAGCCGCCTCCTGAGAGCCGTTCCTTAAGAGGGACAGGTCCCTGCCACTGCCACTGCTTCTGTCGACCTCATTTCTACTTTATGGTAAGGGGAGCTCCTTCCTAGTTTATAGCATAAGAATCTTCCCTTCTTGGGGGCGCCTGGGTGGCTCAGTGGGTTAAGCCTCTGCCTTCGGCCCAGGTCGTGATCTCAGGGTCCTGGGATTGAGCCCCGCATCCGGCTCTCTATTCAACGGGAAGCTTCCTCCTTCCTCTCTCTCTGTGCCTGTCTCTCTGGCTACTTATGATCTATCTCTCTCTGTCAAATAAATAAAATATTTAGAAAAAGAAAAAAAAAAGAACCTTCCTCTCTTGGTTCTTAGTAGTTATGATGGGCTCTTCCTGATCCATGGAAAGGGTCTGGGTGTTGATTCCTGTTGGGTAAACCAGCCCGAGGCGGTCACTGGCCAGACTTAGCTGCCCTCTGCCTTCCGTGTGCCCTGTCTTTGGCCTTGGAATAGGGCCTCCCCGCAATCACTCCCCTTCTTCTGGCTTTCCCCCCGACATTGAATCCCTGGATTCTAGCCACCAAACAAGCAGCCCTGAGTTCTTTCAGAAGGGAAATAGGTTTGCTCCCAGACTTGATTTGTAATTTTTTTTTCATAACTGATGTTTTTTGTCTTTCGACTATCTGGGCTCTGATGGGTTTTTGGTTTGCTGGCTTGTTTGTGTTTTGTTTTTGTGTTGAGCGTGCCCGCATGCCTCCGCCGGCCCTTTCCCGAATGCCATGCCGCGCTGGGAGGGTGCTGAGACCCGTGTCTCACTCAGCTCTGCTCAGGGAGTTGACCACTCTTGAGGCCTAATGTGGGGGACAGAGGAGGAGCTGGGGCTGTAGTCCTCTGCGCTGGATAGCTTGAAGCTTCCAGCATCTGTAGATCTCCCCATTAAGCAGGACGGAGGAGGGCCAGAAGTGGGGAGCCCATCTGGCCCATTGGTTTAACCCCAGCTCTGTTTCCTCACCTCTCGGTAAGGATCTTTCCCGGATGTGAAGCTCCCTCCTTGGGTGCCACTGCAGTCAGATCATCATCCTGTAGCTTGGGGACCTTGGTTCATTCCAGCATTGGCCCCTGCCTGAAGAGAGCCCAGTCCCGGCCCGACCTGCTTCCTGGGGGCAAGGCTGCCAAGTGAGTCTGGGGCGGAGGGAGGCAACCTCTGAAGGCTGCCGAAGCCGGAAGGGGCTCCTGCTGCCCTCGCCCCTCCTCTCTGCCAGGTCTTCCCTCCTCGTGACAGTTCGCTTAACTCATGGTGTGTGGCACGTGGCTGGCTTAGGTGAGTCCTTTCAGAGTCCGTGTGGGAGTCTATAGTGAGTTCTGTCGTGGTGCTCCGCTTGTGCGGTCTCTCAGGCCTAGCGTCCCTGCACCTCCGCAGGTGTTTGGAGAGTGAACGCGCCAGGTCCCCGCTCCTCCCTTCAGCCCCTCTGACCTCGAGGACACGCCCACCTCCATAATGGCAGCAGAGACCCTCAATTTTGGGCCTGAGTGGTGAGTTTGACACTCTCTGGGTGGCCTGGAGAAGCCAGAAAAAATAGGGTTCCTCAGACTCCTGTCTCTTTCCTTCCCTGTGTTCCTTTCCTAGGTTGAGAGCCCTTTCCAGTGGTGGCAGCGTGGCCTCCCCACCCCCCTCCCCCGCCATGCCCAAGTACAAGCTGGCTGACTACCGCTATGGGCGAGAGGAGATGCTGGCGCTCTACATCAAGGAGAACAAGGTGCGAGGAGACGTGTGTGGGGCGTGTGGCCCAGTTGCCTGTTTGGTCTGAGCCGGTGGAGAGGGCCTGGGAGCGGGTGGGATCCCAGCTCTCCTGCCCCGACTGACAGGTGCCCGATGAGCTGCAGGACAGGGAGTTTGCTGCGGTGCTACAGGAGGAACCGCTGCAGCCGCTGGCGCTGGAGCCGCTGACCGAGGAGGAGCAGGTGGGGCGGGACCGGGGCGGGGCAGGGCGCTGGGTCTGCCCCTGCAGAGGGGCCGAAGCTGGGGAGGTAGGTGGTGGGGCTTGTTCTGGGCAGGGATGAGGGGGGTGGGTGTCTGGTCCTCACTCCCATCCCTGGCTCCCTCCTCAGAGAAACTTCTCCCTGTCAGTGAACAGTGTGGCTGTGCTGAGGCTGATGGGGAAAGGGGCTGGCCCCCCCCTAGGTGGCACCTCCCGTGGCAGGGGCAGCACTCGGAGCCGAGGTAGAGGGGGTGACGGTGTGTTCTGGGGGTGGGCCGGGGGTGCTGCTGCCTGTGGTTGTGGGGGTGCAGAGAGGTAGTCTGGCAGGTTTCCCACGTGTATCTCGTCTTTTCTCCAGGCCGGGGCCGTGGTGACAGTTGCTTTTACCAAAGAAGCATTGAAGAAGGCGATGGAGCCTTTGGCCGAAACCCCCGGGAGATCCAGCGAAGCCAGAGTTGGGATGACAGGTGCCGGCGGCATAGTGGCAGAGCCGAGTGAAGCCCTGTGGCTTGGTTTTCTGTTGCTAGAGGGCAGCAGGAGACCCTCCGAATAAGCCCTGGTCACAGGGTTTCCTCTTTGCCTCGGACTGGCTCCCTGCGGCCCTTTCGTCTTACTTCTGATTCTCTTAGTACCTGTTTATTCTGTGACCTTTTCCTGCGTGCCCTCCTGCGCTCCCTGCCAAGCCTAACATTTCTCTAGGACCCCCCCGACGCCCTCCCTCTTCCCACCCCTCTCAGGGCAGAATGGACAGAGGGTTCAGAGGTGCCACTCATGGGAGGGCAGGGTGGAGTCTGTCCTCTCCTGACCAACACCTTTCCTTCTGCAGAGGGGAGAGAAGGTTTGAGAAGTCGGCCAGGAGGGATGGAGGTATGGAGAGTGGCGATGGCCTGGTCCTAAAGGTCATTGAGAGGTGGGGAGGGGGAGGACTTAAGTGGGGGGTGTTTTCCTGCGGGAGGTGGAGGGGACAGGAGGGCCTGGAGCGGGCCTCCTCCAGGGACCATGGCTGCCGCTCCACTGACTGTGTCTTCCCTCACCCCCAAGCACGATCCGGGTTTGAGGAGGGAGGGGCTGGCCCGAGGAAGGAACATGCCCGCTCGGATAGCGAGAACTGGCGTTCTCTTCGAGAGGAGCAAGAGGAAGAGGAGGAGGGCAGTTGGAGACTCGGGGCAGGACCCCGGCGAGATGGCGACCGCTGGCGCTCAGCCAGCCCCGGTGAGGTTGGGGCCAGATGTGTGTCGTGGGGTCAGAGGGTGATAGACTTCATGTGAGGGTGGGCTCCCGTGGCCGTGTGGAGGGGACAGAAAGCTTTCTGGAGTGGAGTGGGTGGGAGAGCAGGCCTGGAGATGCGCTTGTTCCCAGGGTGGAGGGGAGGTCCTGGTGGCCGGCTTGACCAGGATACTGACCTTCCTTCTCTATCTTTTCCTGCCCAGATGGTGGCCCCCGCTCTGCTGGCTGGCGGGAACACGGGGACCGGCGTCGCAAGTTTGAGTTTGATTTGCGAGGGGACCGAGGAGGGTGTGGTGAAGAGGAAGGGCGGGGTGGGGGAGGTAGCTCTCACCTGCGGAGGTGCCGAGGGCCTGACGGCTTCGAGGAAGACAAGGATGGGCTCCCGGAGTGGTGCCTGGATGACGAGGACGAAGAGATGGGCACCTTCGATGCCTCTGGGGCCTTCCTGCCTCTCAAGGTACTGGAGGAAATGCAGGGAAGGTCTCCACTGGAGGGTGGTGGGGCCTACCCCGGTGGGGGCCTCTCACTCCCACCCGTTCATCCTCTGCCTCTTGCTCCCCCACCGTGTCCCCTAACTTCGTGCAGAAGGGCCCTAAAGAGCCCATTCCTGAGGAGCAGGAGCTTGACTTCCAGGGCCTGGAGGAAGAGGAGGAAGAGCCTCCCGAAGGGCTAGACGAGGGCGGGCCTGAGGCAGGTGAGCCTGTGGGGTGGGGTGGGGAAAAGGGAGAGTGTCTTGAGCCAGGCCAGGTGGGCAGAGGGGCCCTCACCAAGCTCTGCCACCAAGGTGGCTTGGGCGGAGAGCAGGTGTCACCGGGTGGGGGAGGAATGGAGCAGGCCCGTGCCTGAAAAGCAGATAGGCAGTTCACAGTCAGGCGACATCAAGATGACCCGTGCAAATCCTTCAGAGAATCTGAAGAACACGGCTTTAGTAGGTCTGGGGCGGGGCGTGTACAGCCCTGGGCTGTGATGTGGACACGTGCACGGTGTGTGCGGTGTCACGAGGCAGAGTTTGTGGTGCTGATTTGCTGGGTGTTAGCGGAGTTGAGCAAAGTTAGGTGGGTGGATTCAAGGACCGGAGACCTAGGAATTTGTGTCAAGTCATTTTTAAGGCCTTCCGGCTCTTTGGTTTTGAATTCTGGTAATTACCTCTTTCAGGAGGGAAGGAGCTGACCCCACTACCTCCTCAGGAGGAGAAGTCCAGTTCCCCCTCCCCACTGCCCACCTTGGGCCCACTCTGGGGAGCTAATGGGGAAGGGGATGACGCCGCAGACAAGGACCTGCCAGCAGCTGAAGGTAGCGGAGGGGGGATGGGGGGGGACACTCCTCTTCCTTGTGGTAGGACGGAGGTACCTGAGGCATTTTGGGAGGAAGGGGTAGAACTGGAACTCCACTTTTTTGGAGTGAGGGTGTATAGGGAAGCCTCTCATTCTCTTCTCTGGACCCCACCCCCCCATTCCACTGTCTTCGCTTCTAGATGATGTGAGGGGACTGCCGCTGAGTCCTGGGGTAGGCTCACCGCCTGGCCCACCTGGAGATCTGGAGGATGATGAAGGCCTGAAACACCTGCAGCAGGTGGGGGGGACCTCAGAAGGCTCTGGGGATCCTGCCGCATGGGGGATGGAGAGCCATCGTTGCCTCTGTCCCTGCCCTGTCCCATGCTTTCCCCATCTGATCCTCCGAATTGTATCCTGATCTCCCGACCCCACGCGATGTTGGCTGCAGCCGCATCCTGATGCTGCCGCGATTGCGCCTTTGAGCCTTTCCTCTCTCCTCTGTCTCCCAGGAGGCGGAGAAGCTGGTGGCCTCCCTGCAGGACAGCTCCCTGGAGGAGGAGCAGTTCACGGCCGCCATGCAGGCCCAGGGCCTGCGCCACTCAGCAGCTGCCACTGCCCTCCCGCTCAGCCATGGCGCGGCCCGGAAGTGGTTCTACAAGGACCCCCAGGGGGAGATCCAAGGTGCCCGTGGGGAGTAGGAGCCGTGCAGGAGGGGCTGCTTGGGGCAGGGGACACTGACATTCTCTTTCAGGGCGTCTCTGGCACAGCTTTCTGACTGATGTCGTCCTTCCCTTGGTCCAGGCCCCTTCACGACACAGGAGATGGCAGAGTGGTTCCAGGCGGGCTATTTTTCCATGGCGCTGCTTGTGAAGCGGGGCTGCGATGAGGGCTTCCAGCCCTTGGGGGAGGTGATCAAGATGTGGGGTCGTGTGCCCTTTGCCCCAGGACCCTCGCCACCCCCACTGCTGGTAAGCACGGCCCCCTTGGCAAGGAGTGGGGAGGAGAAGCAGGAGCGGGGCTGGGGCCGGACAGATAGCAGCAGGGGTGCAGAGTGAGAGGAGGTCGGAGCCACAGGAGCGCTCTGGCCCTCACCCAGGGCAACATGGACCAGGAGCGGCTAAAGAAACAGCAGGAGATGGCCGCGGCGGCCTTGTACCAGCAGCTGCAGCACCAGCAGTTTCTGCAACTGGTCGGCAGGTACGGGGCACCCAGGAGGCCTTGGCGGCTGGGTCGGGCCGGACCAGGCCGGGTATGGGCCAGGAGCGGGCCGGGTGGCCTCCGCCCCTGACGCCCATCCCCGTGTTGGCAGCCGGCAGCTCCCGCAGTGCGCGCTCCGGGAGAAGGCGGCTCTGGGGGACCTGAGCCCACCGCAGCAGCAGCAGCTCGCGGCGTTCCTGCAGCAGCTCCAAGCTCTCAAACCGCCCAGGTTCGTGGGCCGGGGTCTTGTCGTGGGGAGCGGGGCAGCCCCAAGAGGAACTCGGAGTTCTGAGAATTGCGGCTTTTCTCCTCAGAGGCGGGGACCAGAACCTGCTCCCGACCATGAACCGGTCCCTGTCGGTGCCAGATTCGGGCCCCCTCTGGGACATACATACCTCAGCCTCATCACAGTCAGGTGTGTGGCCCTCTTGTTCCTGCCCCAAGTCCCTGGGTGAGCGGGGGCAGGGGGAGGAGGTGACAGACTTCATGTCTGCTCCCGCCCTCCGGCCACTCCAGCCCAGCCAAGCCTGAGCCGCCTCCCGCTGCTGCCCTTGCCTCCTGCAGGCGGTGAGGCCAGTCTTTGGGACATACCAATTAACTCTTCGACTCAGGGTCCAATTCTAGAACAACTCCAGCTGCAACACAAAGTGAGTGGGCTTCCTGGGGCTGCGGTCCTCAGGTGTCTGGGGTCAGGCTGAGGCAGGAACGGCCGGGGTGGGGGGCCCCGGGTCTGCCGTCTGAGCTCATTGGCTGTGCCAGTTCCAAGAGCGCAGAGAAGTGGAGCTCAGGGCGAAGCGGGAGGAGGAGGAGCGCAAGCGGCGGGAGGAGAAGCGGCGGCAGCAGCAGCAGCAGGAGGAGCAGAAGCGGCGGCAGGAGGAGGAGGAGCTGTTTCGCCGTAAGCAGGTGCGTGCCCGGCTGTGCCCGCCCGTGCCGGTCTTCGCCCACCTGGGCCTGGGGCCAGGCCGCCGGCCCTCACCATGCTGCTCTGGTCCAGGTGCGGCAGCAGGAGCTCCTGCTGAAGCTGCTCCAGCAGCAGCAGGCGGTGGCCGCTGTCCCTGTGCCGCCGGCGCCCAGCTCTCCGCCCCCGCTGTGGGCCGGTCTGGCCAAGCAGGGGCTGTCCATGAAGACGCTGCTCGAGCTGCAGTTGGAGGGCGAGCGGCAGCTGCACAAGCAGCCCGCGCCCCGGGAGCCATCGCGGGCCCAGGCCCCCAACCACCGCGTGGTGAGCAGGCCGGCCCTTCCCCCGCTGAGCAGCGGTTTGGGAGCCGTGGGGAACCCCTTGCAGTCCGCAGGGTGGGGGGAGTTGCTTAGCCCCGACTTTAGAACCTGAGCCCTGGTCCGTATCTGTCCGGAAGCGTTTGTCTTCGGGGCGGCCCTCCCCTCGCCCCACTGGGCCACCTTCGTGAGCCTCCCCGCTTAGTTGTTCTAGTGTGTGTGTGTCCTCATCGGGGCCGCTCTGATTCTTGCCATCTGTAGCAGCTTGGGGGCCTGGGCTCGGCCCCCCTGAACCAGTGGGTGTCTGAGGCCGGGCCACTGTGGGGCGGGCCCGACAAGAGTGGGGGCGGCAGCGGCAGCCCGGGGCTCTGGGAGGACACCCTCAAGAGTGGTGGGAGCCTGGCCCGCAGCCTGGGCCTGAAGAACAGCCGGAGCAGCCCCTCTCTCAGGTGGGTGCCGGGGCCTGCACGCCCTGTCCGGCCTCGGGCCGGGGTTGGAAGGACGGGGCAGGTGTCCGCTCATTTCCTGGTTCTCGTTCCTCCCTGGCCCACACAGTGACTCGTACAGCCACCTGTCGGGTCGGCCCGTGCGCAAAAAGACGGAGGAGGAAGAGAAGCTGCTGAAGCTGCTGCAGGGCATCCCCAGGCCCCAGGACGGCTTCACCCAGTGGTGCGAGCAGATGCTACACACGCTGAGCACCACAGGCAGCCTGGATGGTACAGGCCACAGCCCTGGGGGCCGGGCGGGGCCGGGGCTTCCGGGCCTTCGTCGGGTGGGCCCTGACAGCCCCCCTCCTGCTCCGCAGTGCCCATGGCTGTAGCGATCCTCAAGGAGGTGGAATCCCCCTACGACGTCCACGATTATATCCGTTCCTGCTTGGGGGACACGCTGGAAGCCAAAGAATTTGCCAAACAGTTCCTAGAGCGGAGGGCCAAGCAGAAAGCCGGCCAGCAGCGGCAGCGGCAGCAGGTGAGCCTCCGCCAGCCCCTGGCGGGTTGGGGGCGGGGTGGGGGGCTTCCCCTCCACTCCCTGCTGACCCAGCCTCCCTCTGGGAGCCTCACAGGAGGCGTGGCTGAGCAGTGGCTCCCTACAGACAGCCTTTCAGACCAACCACAGCACCAAACTCGGCCCTGGGGAGGGCAGCAAGGCCAAGAGGCGGGCGCTGATGCTGCACTCAGATCCTAGCATCTTGGGTGAGTTCGGGGGTGTGGCCACGAAGGAGGCTTCTTACTCCGCAGGGGCCACAAGCCTGGGGAGAGCTCAAACCCAGCTTCTCCCCGGCTTCAGGGTACTCCCTGCACGGACCTTCTGGTGAGATCGAGAGCGTGGATGACTACTGACCAGCCCGTCCCACCAGCCCCTGGGCTGTAGGCCGGGGGCGGCAGCAGCGGCTTGGACCCTTGGGTCCCCAGCCTGCAGGCTCCCCACAGGGAGCGTAGGAGGAAGCAGGGGCAGGGTCCCCAGCACTTGTTACAAACCACACGATGCACCTTAACTCACCCACCACGAGGCACTTTACAGAATGGGGGGGGGAAGGGTTTTTGTTTTTTGGTTTTTTGTTTTTTTTTTGTTTTGTTTTTGTTTTTGTTTTCTCTTGGGAAAAAAAAAACAAACATTTTAAACAACCCTGAAGAAAACGTTAGGAGAGACAAGAAAAAAGAAAATTGTTCAAAACCAGACTCTAAGCACCCCTTCCCCCTCTAGGGACAGTGAGGGTGACAATGGAAGGTCCACAGAGGTTTTTTGGGATTTTTTGTTCTTTGTTTTTTGTGTTTTTTTTTTTTTAAGAAAAAGAAAATGAAAAAAAAAAAAAGGTTAGGAGATTGAAAGAAAAAAACACACTGTTATTTTGGGGCAGTGGGGACATGGGCCCCACGGACCTGTCCTGCCTGGCCCCCAAGGCTGCACTTACCCTCCCTGCCCCGCACAGTGGGCCATTGGGGTAACTGGAAGCTGGGGTGCCAGCAGTTTGCACAGCGAGGCCCCCTCAGCCCCGCCAGCCGGACCCGCTGTGAACGGCTCCCTTTGTTGCTGTGACTGTGGCAGAGGTGTCCGGGGTCGGGGCCAAAGTAGCCCCTCGGCTTTGCTGCTTTGGGGGAAGAGTTGCACAAATGGGCCGGGCCGCCTCCGCTCTCCGGGCTGCCGTCCTGTGCTGGCTGATGAGGTAGAGGGGAAAGGGCCAGCCAGTGCCAACCTCATCTGGCTGTCGGGGTGGTGGAGGTTCCGCTCTGGCCCTGGTGAGGGGCTTCCCCCACTGCTGCCATTTTGTGGGGGGGGACGGCCTGGGCGTGAAGCTGAAAGCCTCAGCTCCCTGCCTCGCCACATGAATGTATTCTTCGGGCCACAAGCCCCCACTGCGCCTTCTGCCTCTACCCTGCGCGAGGTGGGAGTGGAGCAGTGCCTCCAGGAGCTGGAGAGGCACCACTTCGGGACTGTTTGCTCCTGCGAAAGGGGCCGGAGGAGGGCCTAGGAGGCCGAGGGAGTGGGCAGTGCGGGGCTCCAGGTTGCGGCGTGGGGGCTGTCGGAAGGGAGTTCCCTGCCTGCTGCCAGCTACGTGGGCTGCGGACCACCCAGCTCTGCTCTGACCCCTCCATTGACCAAATGGGAGAGGAGCACGCGGCCTCTCCCCTTCCCACTCCCCCGATGCATTTTTCATGTTGGGTAAGGTGCGGGGGTCCAGAATGGAAGCGTCGTCTCTCCTGGGTCAGGGGTAGGCTGCCCTTCTGTCGCTCACCAACTTTTATTCCCAGTCACCTACCTGGGTTTGTCTCCGTTTGTGGATTTTTTTTTCTTTTCTTTTCTTCTTTTTTTTTTTTAAAGTTTCTCTTTTGGGTTTTTCATTTAACTTCTCCCATCGACCTCATTGCTCAGAGTGCAGTATTAGGGCAGGAGTCTGCCACTGCCTCCCCTCCATGAATGTATTTATCCTTCCTGCCCTGGGGAGATGGGGAGTGGCCTGTTTTCTTTCCCCATCCATCCCCAGAGAGACCACATTTTTTTTTGTTTTGTTTTTGTTTTGTTTTGCACCAAAGTGGCAACTGGGTCAGTGTTGGGGGATAAAGCTGGCCTCGGGGGTGGAGGGGCACCCTCCGCCCGCTTCTCCCTGGTTTCAACAGTGTTAGCATCCGTGAAAAGACAATATTCTCTCTAAAGCAATAAGGGGGGGATGGGCCAGGGGGAAATGTCTTGCTGCTGCTGGCCCCCCGCTCCCCCCTTCCTCATGCCAGTATTTGGCGGCTAGAGGAGTCGGGGGGGTACTGTTGTGACTGAATGTAACCGCCCCCACCCCTGCCGCAGCCAATGCAGGGGAGGGGGGTGACACTCTTCCCTGTCTCTCCCTTCCCCTTCCCCCCAGCTAAAGAGACTTTGAACTTAGGGGGCCCTTGAGCCTGGAGAGGCCTTAACCCTGTGAGGAAGTGTAGAGGGAGCCCTCTCCCACCCCCATCCCCTTCTGAGAGTGGTCAATGTTTACAAGCCCCTGAGCCCCCCAGCCCAGGGGCTCCAACCCCATTGTTGTCCTTTCCCTCCCACCCGTCTCCCTGGGCCCCAGCTGCTCTCCCACCCTCCCTGGGTTGGGGTGGGTGCAGGGGCTGTTCTGTATCCCCTTGTCTGCCTTGGACCCAAAACCTCCCCTACCCCCACCCTGTGTGACTCCCCTCTCTTCTACCTGCCCCTGTAAATATTCCCCTTCCCCCAATAAAACTTGGTGTGTGTTCTCCCTTTCTGCCATGTGTCTTTTCTTGGGGAAAAGAGTCTTTGGGGAACGAGACAAGGCTAAGTGCTGGGAACTGAAAGAGCTGTGGCAGGGGACAACTGGTCAGCCAGCCGGACTCAGGGCTGTGTCTTTGGGAGCATGCATGGCCCTGTTGGGTAGAAGATCCTCCTGCCTGACTTTAGCGGAAACCTGTGGGAATTTCTCTCTGGTTCCAATTTATAAGGACCCGTATCCACCCCACCACCGCACCCGTGACACATACACTGGTCTGCTCTGGGAGCAGAGACCTGGAATGAGAAAGACACAAGGGTAGAGACCAGGTACAGAGTTGGAATTGGTTCCTTTATGGAAAAACTGAAAATATAATAAAAATTAAAATAAAACCAGTTTTAAAAAAGCCAGCCCCTGGAGTTTCTACCTCCTGCCTCTGGCCCTCCAGAGGGATGAGACCCCAACCCCAGGGCAGCAAAAGGATGAGGGCTTTCTGCCCCTCCTCTTCCCCCATTCTATCCCCATCTTTATCTCCACAGTGGGGGGCCCCGGGAGGAACCAAACCTGGGTAGGGGAGCAGGGACCCAAGGCCCCGTGGCCCGAGGAGGGAGGCTTGGTGTGTACCCAGCCCCAAAGCTCCCGGCCTGTAGTGTGGGCATGGGCAGGGCCCCTCTTGGCCTGGGCCCAGTGGGGCGGTAGCTGTTAGTTCCAGATCTTGAGGAAGGAGTCCCAGGAGCCTGTGGCCACAGCCATGCCATCATCAGTGACCCCGAGGCAGCTCACACGGTTGTCATGGCCGGCGAGGACACCTGTGAGGGAAGACCGTCAGAACCCAGGCTCCCTGGGCCCAACACCCACTCCACCCCCTGGCACCCAGCACGCACCTGCACGGTCGCCCTTCATGGCGTCCCAGATGTTGCAGTTGAAGTCGTCGTAGCCGGCGAGCAGCAGCCGGCCGCTGCGGGAGAAGGCAACAGAGGTAATGCCGCAGATGATGTTGTCGTGGGAGTACATGAGCAGCTCCTGGTCAGCCCGCAGGTCGAAGAGGCGGCAGGTGGCATCGTCGGAGCCGGTGGTGAAGGCGTAGCCGTTGGGGAAGAACTGCAGGGCAAGGGACCGGAGTGGGATAAGGGCACAGCAGAGCTGGGAGCCTGGCAGACGGGCCAGCCCGGCTCCACCAGGAACTTACCGCCACAGCATTGATGTCCGACTCGTGGCCGATGAAGGTCTGTCGGCACATGGAATCCCGCACATCCCACAGCTTGATAGAGGCGTCACAGGCACCAGACACAAAGGTGCGGCCATCGGGGGCCAGTGACAGGGACATCACATCTCCACTGTGCCCAGCAAAACCCACTGTCTGCTGGCCTGTCTCAATGTCCCACAGGGCACTGGAGACATGACAGAAGGAAGGGATCAGAGAGGGATACAGGGCAACCCCCCGCCACCCCAACCATGCGAGCCCAGCCCTGAGAGAACGTCCGAGCAGGGGGCACACGGAGCCACCAGGTCATAGGAAACGGAGGCCAAGTGTTCAGAAGACCCCCCTGCTCGCTCCGGGCACACACTACATACTAAACACCAAGGCAGGGGCACTCGGAGGCAGGAAGTATTGGAGAGTCCCGACTACCTAGCCCTGGCAGGGCCTCACCAGGTGGTGTCCCCGGAGCTGGTGATAATTTGGTTGTCATCCAGGAAGCGGCAGCACGACAGGTACCCTGGGGAAAGGGGCTGGTCAGCAGAGGCTCTCGGCCGGCAGCCCAGCCCCTCCCCCCGCAACAGCGCCCCCGAGCCCTGCCAGGTCCCTCTCACCGGTATGGCCAGGTAGCTCCCGGCTGACCCGGACATTGCCCTCGCGGGTCTTGAGGCTGTAGATGGAGCAGATGTTGTCTAGCCCTCCGCAGGCCACAAAGTTCCCTGAGGGCGCATAGGCACAGGTCATGACCCAGGAGGAGCGCAGAGGGATGGCATGGACCTGGAGAGAAGGGGCAGTGCCCAGGGTCGGAGCCAGCCAGGGCCTGCGGCCCCCCCACATCTGGCCTCAGGCCCCGCCTCTACCTTGTTGGTGGTATAGCTGTCCCAAATGATGAGCTTCCCGTCCTGGGAGGCGCTGACCAGCAGCCTATTGAAAAGTGGCAGGGGAGAGGCAGAGGGGTCAGGGTGGGAAGCTCCCTCTGGAGACGGGACACCGAGGCCCTCTGCAGCAGCAGACCTGCTGACCCCAGCAGCAGCCAGAAAGTTCCTGCCAGTGCGCTCCTGCTTCCCACCCCCTGGGGCTGTCTGGGAGTCACTGTCTTCCCAAACACGCTCAGCAACACACAGGCATCCGGGTCATCCCGCCAGATCCGCCAGGTTGCAAGCCCTGCCCCAGTCGGCCTGCTACAGACTCAGCCCAGGGCAAACACGCCCCTCAGCACACGGCCCCAACCACACACACACACACACACACACACCCCTCAGCACACGGCCCCAACCCCACACACACACGCCCCTCAGCACACGGCCCCAACCACCCCCCCCACACACACACCTTGAGTCTGTCCCCCAGTGCATGGCATAGATTTTTGCCAGGTGCCCACGGAGGGTCCTCCGTGTTCTCATCTGGATTCTTCCCACTGGGTCCAGCCCAGCTGTGATCTGGAGGTAGAGGCAGACGGTGCTCAGAGGGGTTCAGGCGGCATGGCCCACCAAGTAGTGCGACTCCGACCCTCGCTCTTTCCCTAAACCCCAGGTTCAGCCCTGGATTCATCTCACCTGGGTCAGTGTTGAATCCCCACATGCTTTTCGGGCATCCTATAAAAGAGATGGCAGAGCTCATCAGAGGCAGGAGAAGAGGGGGAGGAGGAGGCAGGGGAAGGGGTGACAGACGAGTGGAGAAGAGGAGACAGAGACTAGGGTAGCCGCACACACAAGAACCCCCCCCCCCACCACCCCAGTCCATTTAGGCCACCTGGCCCTGGCGGCTCAGCCTCCCCAGCCCCGCGGTCAGGCCCTCACCCGGATCTGGTTCCGGAGCTGCTCAGCCTCCTGTCTCAGTTGCTCCAGCTCACTCATGGCGCCGGGCCCGTGGGGCGGGGTTGGGGGCGGCTGGGGGCCGCGGGACGGGGGCTGGGGGAGACAGCTCCTCGCCGCTGGCCCGAGGCCTGGGGGATGCAGGGCTGACGTCAGGCCCAAGGCCGCCGGGGAAGGGGGAAAAGGCGGGGTTGAAGAGCGGCCCGGAAGGGGTAAGTGCCGGTGGGGCGGGGGGGAGGGGACAGCAGCGGCGGCCGCGGTTCGCGAGGCAGAATCTGGGTCTTTGGCACGGGAGAGATGTTGCCCAGGAAGAGGTGACTTCCCCAATCTTCCTCCCGCCCCCCGGAAACGGAGCGGGAAGTGCAAGAGGAAGCGCAGGGGAAACCCCTCCCTCGGACAGCAGCCCGGGCGGGACACCCGCGGCAGGAACTGAAGGGGGGACGAAGGGGGGGAGGGGAGGGGGCGGGGAGAGTCCCTTGGAAAACAGACCTGGAGTCCGCCCGGGCCCGCACAGGCACCGCCCTCCTAGCACCTAATTTTAAAAGGGGCGGTGCCTCTTTAAATTCACCCCCACACGCCGCACACCCTCCACACACACCCCCAGCTTCGACTGGGGTGGGGGAGAGACCAGAGGGGGAAGCTGGGCTGTTCGTGGGGTTGCCTAGGCAACCGTCACCCGGACTGAGAGCACCTCATTGGTGAAGTGCCCCCACCCTAGCCCTGTTGCCAAGGCAACCGCATCCACGGCAGAGACCTGTAGGGTGGGTGACCCCACCCCCGGCCCCATCGCCCCCGCCCGACCCAGCCTCCCACCCCAACCCAGAACCAGCCAGGGTGGCTGTTTACAGGATTTGGGAAAGCCGATTGGCACTAATAGGTTCGGGACGGCTCACCCCGGATAATCCCTGGGCCGGCTGCGCCCCATTAGCCGCCCCTGGCGGGCGGAGAGAAGGGTGGCGGGGAAGGCAGCCCCAAGCCGCTGCTCCCTCCAGCGCCGAGGCCGCCCATTCCAGCGCGCCCGCAGAAAGCCCGTGGGAGCCGCTCTCGAGTAATTAGTGCTCCGAGGAGAGGTCCCCAGCCCTGAGGCGCGGAGCTGCTCTCTCCCAGATGCGAGCCGGCGGGCGGGCTGGCGGCCCCAAGCGGCCCGGCCCTGCGCCCTCGGCACCCCAGGAGCCCAGCCTCCGGGCTCCGCGTCGGGGCCCCAGGGACCCGGCCGGCTCCGCTCCAGGGCCCGCAGTCCTGCCCCCTTCTCCGGACACCTGTGTGATCTGGCAGGGCGCGCGGCACTCTGTCGACCCAGACGTCCCCCACCCAGCTCCCACTTCCCCCAGGCCCTGGGCGTTCCTCTTCCCCACTGACATTTCCCCTCTGCCAGTTCAGCTTTCTACACTAGCGCCGGGGGATGCCCCTCCAAAAAAGCGGGGAGCCTGTTGCGGTGGGGGGCAAAGTCTCCCATTCCGCGTCCTCAGTTTCGGACAAAGCCCCTTCCTTCCAGCTGCTAGCAGCCCAGACCGAGCGGCAACGCCAGAGGCCAGGGGCAGAAGGAAACAGGCTGGGAGGAAGCCGCCGGGGGCGGGGGCGACGCTTCCAGCCCTCAGTCCCCATCACCCTCCAAGGCCCCCTCGGCGGCCCCCGGAATCTGGGCATACAGCAGCCGGGGCCCCAAGGAAAAATGGGGGTGCCACCGCCTCCGCAGGTCTAGCTGGGCGAAGGGGAGGGGACATGGGAGGGTCCCGGATCTGGCAGCTGGAAGGCGCGGGCCGGTGCCTAGCTGCGAAGCGCAGTGGGCCTGGCCCTCCGGCCCCCACGACCTCCATTTTGCCCAAAAGAAAGCTAGACGTGGGATAAGGGCGTCCGGGAGCTGGGTTTGGGGTTAGGGCTAGTACAGGGAACAGGGTGCCGAGGTCTCCGGTCTAGAGTAACGCGACCAGAAAACACGTACAGAACCCAGATCGAGGGGAGGGTGGAGGCTAAGGGAAGGGTGGCCTCGCGGCCTTGCCTGCCTCTCTGAGGATTCTGGAGTTTTGCAAGGCGAACGCCGGCATGGGTGAAAAATGGGAGGACACGAGGGGTGCTACCCAGGGGCAAACGGGAGGGTGGTGATGGGGGAGAAGGGGGCGGGACGGGGCCCAGAGGAAGCCCGGAATTCGGCCCCCCAACTTCCCAGGGAGCAAGAGGCAGGAGAGGCTGGGATGGGGTCTGGGGTGAGGCAAAATGCCCCTGACGGTGCGGGGAGCGCGCGCATTGTTGGGGATGAGGGTCCCCCCAGTTCCCCTTCCGGGTTTGGGAGCGACGGGGCCAGAGGAAGGGAGGGGAGGTCTGGGGTGCTACGTCCGCTCCCAAGAGGCTAGACCGGGGCGACAGAAGGAAGAGAGGTTCCCCCACGGGAATTTGGGGCTGGGGGAGACGAGGACTTCTTTTGTCAGCGGAAGTACCTGTGGCGGTGGGATTCTGCGAAGGGTCGCTCGAGGAGCGCGGGAGGTCCTGTCTTCCTCCGCGGCGGAGGCGGCAGCGGCGGCGACGCGGATGGATTTCCTCAGTCACCCCAACTCAACCGTCCAGCGCTGCTCTCCCCAGAGCGGAGGGATCCCGCCCGCCAGTGACGCGGCCGTCGCCGCCGCGCCCAGGGCCCGGCTGGGCGAGACCAACTCCTTAGTTGGGGGGAGGCCGGAAGGCAAAAGACCCCTTAAGGGGCAAGGATTGACTCCGTCACAACAAAGATACTACACCAAACTAGTTCGACGCAAAAAGGACCAAAACGAATGCTTTGCTTCCCGAAAAGGAGCAAGACACCCCCCCGGTACTGACGGAAGTGGTACTGACATGGGGGTGGGGAGGAAACCGCTCGCTGGTCACGTGACCCACCCTCCCGGACTGGGCGGCTCCACACTGGGCCGGGGAGCTTGACGCCCCAGTTCTTGGTTGCCACGCCCCTGCCCCGGTGAGACCACGCCCCTCTACGGGCTGGGACCGTGAGGGTGAGATCCCGAACCGCACCGCAGTGGGCCCGTGCCCCTGAGGCGGCAGAGGGAGAGAGCTGCTCTTCTGAAAGTCCCCGAGGAGTGGTGCGGTCCCCTGAACCTGGGAATGGTGAGAAGAGTCGTGCCCGGGAAGTCCCCCAGCGTGGGCTTTTGTAGAACTCTCCTGGAGCGCGTGACCCTGTAACAATACCTCATATTTACGGAGTTCCATATTTATTTAATCCTCACGACAGTGCTGTGAATTTCAGGACTAGCATTGTCCCCATTTTATAGTAGTGGAAGCAGGTTCCTAGGACTGCAGAGTTGAGATAGGAACCAAGGCAGCTTTAGCGACTTAATTGTGCAGTAATTATCAATCCTGGCCTCTTGAGGAATGTTCTCGTGGACCCTCCCTGTAAAGGACTGAGAATGTAAGCATAGAGGCCTTAGTTTCCACATCTGTAAAATGAGTGTCGACTGCTGCCTGCCCTGCGAGTCACGTTCGATTGTTAGGAGATTGTGACATTGTGAAAATGCTTTGGAAGGTTCAAGTCAAATGACCAGCCTTCACTGAGCCCTCATCCGATTTAAAAGTGAAAGTACCAAAGTAGACAACTTCTTGTAGTCTCAACTCAGGCATTACAAAAAGCTTTCAAAGCACAGTTTTTTCTTTTTTGTTTTTTGCTTTTAAAGAAAATAAGAGGGGCGCCTGGGTGGCTCAGTGGGTTAAGGCTCTGCCTTCAGCGCAGGTCATGATCTCAGGGTCCTGGGATGGAGCCCCGGATCGCCCTCTCTGCTCAGCGGGGAGCCTGCTTCCCATCCTCTCTCTTTGCCTGCCTCTCTGCCTACTTGTGATCTCTGTCCAAAAAAAAACAAAAAAAAAACAAAAAAAAAAAGAAACCAAAGTCACATTCTTCGTTATGCACAAATAGAAAATCCCTTTTATGTGCACGCACCAATTCAATGATATATTAGCAGTAGATGATAGATGTCAGTTAGGTATTAGAATTTGGAAGGGACCTTATAGATAATTCACTTCAATTTCCTGTCCATCTACAGATGGGCGAAGTGACTTTCCAAAAGTCACTTAGAAAACTGGCAGCCTAGGACCAGAACCCAATTTTATTAATCTCTGTAGTGCATCTGACATTGCTTCCTCTCACCTTTTGGCTTCACTTTTCCTCTCACTTTTGGCTAATATGCTTCTTTGTTTTAACGCACGCAGCAAACGTTCGTTCGCTTAGTCTCAGTGATGTACAAGGCACCGTCCTAGGCTTGGAGGATACAACCACGAGGTTACAGTCTACGGAGGAGACAGATGGTAGATGATCACTGAAATGACAATTAGCACTGCTGGCTTGGAAGTGCCATTTGCTAAGAGCAGAACATTTGAGAGGGGACACATTTGGGGAGGAAGATCAAAAGTTTTAAGTTGGGACATGTTAGGTTTGTAGTGCCTAGGAGAAGTGCAGAGAAGAATATTTGGTGGCTGTCTGTGCAGGTCTGGGGCTCAGCAGAATAATAGGAGTTGGAATCGAGCCTTGAGAATGAGTGGCGTTTTAGAGCAGATGAAGTCATAAAGAAGTTCAGGGAAAAGACAAGATGGCCTAAGACCAAGCCCTGAGGAACTCCAACATTAGAGGTCAGGCAGAGGAGAGCAGGCTGCCAAAGGAGAAGCCAGAGAGCTAACAGGAAAATCAGGAGAATGTGGAGTTCTGGAACCCTAAAGAAAAGAATGTTCCAAAAAGGGAATGGCAAACTCTGTTCAACGCCGTGGAGGGATGAAGCAAGACTGGACTGGGAAGTGTTTATGAGGTTAAGTAACATGGAGGCCATTGGTGACTTCGTCAAGAGTGCTTGCAGTGACTGCTTTGCTTGTAGTGGGCTGAGGGTAAGTAAAAAAGAAAAAAAAAGGAGGCAGTGGAGATAACCAAAGTGGCCAAAGCTCTGGGAATCTTGACTTGGAAGGGGTGGGGGTGGAAAGGTTGGGCTACATATGGTGAGAGGAGAATCCGAAGTCAAGGTATTTGCGTTGTGTTAGGAGCTACTGGAACTTCTGTAGATGATAATGGGAAGGATGGGGGCTGGGGGAGGTGAAGGATACAGAAGGGTTGGGGAATGGCCAATGGGTGACCAGTTTCTCTGAGAAAGCGGGAGCCCTGGAGCACATGTGGAGAACCTGGCTCTCACAGCATGGGCCAATTCCTCCTTCCTCTGACTCTCCTTTCTCAGGCTTCTCCTCGGTCCTCCCCTCCTCCTCCAGGCCTCCGTGAACATTGTTTCTCTCAGAATCCCAGCCTCAGCCTCCTTTTCTCACTGGTGCCTTCCTTCATTACTGTGACTGTCCTTGAATTGCTTATACCTCTCAAATCTCCATCTCAGGCCCAGAGTTCTTCCCCACCCTCCCCACCCCCGGTGTAGACTTGGTGTGTGTCTAACTGCAACCTGAGTATCTTCACGTGGTTGCTCACAGACAGTGGTGTGCTGGAGTCAGCTGTGTCTGTTCACACCGGCTCACAAGAGCCCAGTGTGCACCTCTCTTCCCAACTCCTTGTTCAGTGAAGTCATGTGGATAGAAATAACTTTTCATTGTCACGATGGGAGTATTTATTTACACCACGGAAATTGGCAAAGGCTTCAGCTCAGGGCTCCCCTTTCCGGAAGAGCTGATTTTTTTTTTTTTAAGATTTTATTTATTTATTTGACAGACAGAGATCACAAGTAGGCAGAGAGGCGGGCAGAGAGAGGGGGCAGGAAGCAGGCTCCTCGCTGAACAGAGAGCCCTATGCAGGCTCGATCCCAGGACCCTGAGATCATGACCTGAGCCGAAGGCAGAGGCTTTAATCCACTGAGCTACCCAGGTGCCCCCAGAAGAGCGGATTTTTAAACCATTTACTATACACCACTGGTCACAGACCTGTCGTCTTCAACACATTCAAAACTAAATTAATCCTCTTCTACCCCATCCCACCCCGCCCAACACTACTCTGTCTCTGAATCTCTTGGCCCAGTTAATGGCATCACCACCCACTCAGGAGCTTCTCACACCCTCATTCCCCATATCCAGAGATGATCAGCTAGTTAAGATCTAGGCCAAGCGGCACCTGGGTGGCTCAGTGGGTTAAGCCTCTGCCTTCGGCTCAGGTCATGGTCTTGGGTCCTGGGATCGAGCCCCACATTGGGCTCTCTGCTCAGCGGGGAGCCTGCTTCCCCCTCCCTCTCTGCCTGCCTCTCTGCCTACTTGTGATCTCTCTCTCTCTCTGTCAAATAAGTAATTAATATCTTAAAAAAAAAATCTAGGCCAAGCTGCTATAACAAAGAGTTCCCAAAATTCGACAGCTTAAGAGACAATTTTATTTATTTATTTATAGATTTTATTTATTTATTTGAGAGAGACCATAAGTGGTGGGAAGTGGCAGAGGGAGAAGCAGATTCCCTGCTGAGTAGGAAGCTGGACACAGGGCTGGATCCCAGGACCCTGGGATCATGACCTGAGCCAAAGGCATATGCTTAACTAACTGAGCCACCCAGGCACCCCAAGAGACAACTTTAAAATAGATCCTCCAGGACTGTGGGGGCATGTCTGCCATCCTCAGCACCTAGCTTCCACCTCTGTGTCTAGTATGGCCCAAGCAGCTTTCCACAATCATACCTGAATTTCACCCACTGGGAAGGGGGTGGGGTGGAAAGCATAAGTTCTTTCCTGTTTAAGGACAACCCTAACTTCTGCTCAGAGGTTGGCCAGTTGCAAGGAAGGCTGGGAAATGTAGTCTCTAGCCATATACCCACCTAAAACATTATTAATAAAGAAAGAAGGGAGGCGGCCATTGATGTAAGGCTAGCCATCTGTGTCACTGGTAGATACATCTTGTCCATGCTACCTCTTGTATATTGCTTAAATCCATCCCTTCTGCCATATGCCAAATACTATTACCCAGTCCTAGCCTATATCCTGGCCTCTAAGTTAGTTCCTCTCTATTCATCTGCCAAATAGCTACCGGACATACCTTTCTAAAATGCAAATTAAATCATATAATTTCATTGTTCAAAACTATGTAGTAGGGTGCCCGGATGGCTCAGTTAGTTAAGCAACTGCCTTCAGCTCAGGTCATGATCCCAGAGTCCCAGGATCGAGTCCCGCATCAGGCTCCCAGCTTCATGTGGAGTCTGCTTCTCCCTCTGACCTTCTCCCCTCTCATGCTCTCTCTCTCAGTCATTATAAATAAATAAAATCTTAAAAAAACAAAAACAAAAACTATGCAGTAGTTGCCCACTGATTCCATGAGAAGGGCCAAACTTCATGACACACAGCCTGGGTCTTGTCCCCTCGCAGAACGCCTTCTACCCCCAATCCAAGACGACTTCTTTGCCAGCTGGGAAAATTCAGTTCCATTTTCACAGGCTTAGTTTAAAATTTGCCTACCCGACCACACTGTTGTTTGTGCCCCACTGCAATGCTGGCTCCACTCCTATTGCGGCCTTTTCTGGGCACTCACCACTTTCACTAGGGAGGGGCTCCCTGTGAAGCCAAGACTCTTGATTTTTCTGGCAGAGGACTGGGGGAGAGCTCATCGAGCAAGGAATAGACCATCACAAGATGCCAAATCACTTCCAAGGTGTGGGGTCTGGGGGTGCGGGCCCCACCACCTTTCACCTCATTACCAGATGTCCATCTTTGGCCACCCTGAATGTGGGCTTGGAATGTGAGAACTTCCAGATGATTTTGTGGAATTAATTATTTAACCCTCCATCTTCCAGCATAAACATTAAACCCTAGGAGAGTCACATCAACTTATGTGAGCCATGTTATTCCTGGTGTCTATCAGGCCCCTAGAGAACATTTATGAAATGAATAGAAGCAAGGTAACATTTCCCCCAGGATCAATACTTTTCACACACCACAGTTCAAACCTCAGCTCTGTCATTTACTAGCTGAGTGACCTTGGGCCAGTCACTTGATCTCTCCATGCCTGTTTCCCATGCAAAGTGGGGATGATAGTCGGGTTATTACAAGAGCTAAATTACTTAACATTTGTAAAGCACTTATAATGCTTTACATCCAGGCACTGGATGTTATGTGTTTGCCAAATCAAAATAGAGTTTAAGTATGAACGAGTTGGTCTCTGTCCACTTTTCCAGTCTCATTTCTCCCTGACTCGGGTCTCTGCCACCAGCTCATCTGCAACCCTCCTTCAAGCCAGAGCTTCTGACGTCTCTAGAACTTTGCACATGCTATTCTCTGTGTGGAAGACCCACCTTGTTCACCAGTGAAACCCTATTCATCCTTCACAATTCAGCTCACACTTCACTTCTAGAAGCTTCCCTGGGCTCTCAGAGACAGGTAGCCCCTCCCTCCTCCAGGCCCTCACTTCCCCCAACTTTCGTGCATGTCTGAACTCCCCATTGCACCAAAACCCCTTGAGAGCGAGGATAGATCTTACGCATCTTGGTACTCCCGTGCCTTGCACAAAGATGTTTGCTGAATCGATGAGTGGATGGTGAAATGTATTAGTAATCTTTTACCTGAACTACATAAATAATGCAACGGAATCATAATACAACAGAATGACCCATGGAAATTGGCCACAGTTGACTGGAAGGCAAATCAAGTCCAGGGGTGTAATCAGCCAGCTGTAGTTTCTCCACCAACCATGAGAGGAAAATTCAGTTCTCATTACAACACTACCGATTTCTAACTTATGGATAATAGTAGTAAAGCCTCAAAAGCTCCCCGGGAACATTCTCAGGACCAGTGTTTACTGAACAGTCCTGCATGCCCAGCTCTTAGCCAGACACTTGATTCTGGCATCAGACTGTGTCCTCACTCCCAGCCATCCTTCAACTAGGGATGGAGAAGCTTGGACTGGGACACAGAAGTATTATGAAATAAGGTCATGTCTCAACTGGCTGATCAGAGCTGTGAGTTATAGCTCAGGCTCTGCCCCAGTTGGGTGTGTGACCCAAGACAGGGCTGGATCCATTATCAGTGAGGTTTCTCCTGACTTGGGGCAGTCTCTGAATCTGAGACCCGACTGGGTTAAGGGATGGGTGACAGAGAAGTGAAGCAATGTCATTAAATGTCAACAAAAGGAGAGGGGCAGGCCACGAATAGAATCACTTTCCACTGCAGTGTCCCCCTAAGCCTCACCTCAGCAATAATAATCATAATAATAATTGTGGACGATAAAGAAATGCAGGTGCCGAGAGGTCAAGGGGCTCATCCAGTCATCCAGGTCTCATTTATAGAGGCCAATAACTAAGTCTCTCAGGAATATTTCAGTTTCCCAATAGAGTCAGCTTTCTCCCCTACAGCTCACCTCTCCCACTTAAGCGCGGACACCTCCAGTCTGAGGTGCCAGGCCTGGACTCCCAGCCAGTTTTGGGCATGTGAAATGCCATTGTTGCCAATGGGTAATCAATGAGCCATCTTAAACCATCTGTCCTTTGTGGGGGAGGGGCTGGCGAAGCCTCTTCCAGAATGGGCATCTGGTGAGCAGAGAAACTGCTGGGGCATTGGCTGTCACAAGATACCCTCTTCCTGTGCCATCTATGGTCTTTTGGGAGGGGGTGCTGAAACCCACCATCCATGGTCTTAGTGCTCCCCCCACCCTCAGCAAGTAGGTGGTAGTGCCCTCAAAACAAACGTATTCATATGCATATACATACACGCACATACATGCGTATGCACACATACCCTGACACGCATAAACCCATACATTCAGGCACACATCTACACATGCTCACGTAAGAGTCTCTCAGCTAAGCCAGGCTGTTGGAGCTGCGCCTTCCCCTTTGCTATTAAAACTGCTGTGGAGGTGGTAGCAGGCCAGGAAAAGAGCTGGGGAGAAATAATGAGGGAAGGAAGCTAAAGATGGGTTAGCTGAGCACGGGTACACGTGTATGTATAGGGCCCACGCACCTGGGATGGGAGAGGAAAAGAGGGGCCATTAGAAAGACAAGGGTGGAAAGAAACTGGGAGAAGATGGAGACACACCCCCTCCTGTACCTCTCCTTCTTCCCTTCTTCCTTTCCTTCCTTTGCCCTATGATTTCATTCAGGCCTGAGAATGGCAGAACCTTGCTCAGGAGCCGGAGAATGGACAACTCTCCAGGACTATGGTGCCCTCTCCTCCACCCCATTTACAAAAGTAAGGGAGCAGGGCCCCCGTCAGTCATCCCGCGGCGTCCTGGTCCAGATGGACAAGGTTTCCATCTCTTTCGTACGTCTGCTCTCTACCTGGCTATCCCTTGGGGTCGGTCTCAAAGTCCTTGGCTATCTTCTCCCAAATCTTAAAGTTGAGGTGTCTGCCCCTTTAAAGCAGCAGCCCCCGGTCAGGTTATTGTCTAGCCTTGTAGCCAATCGGCGGCGCCTTTGGGGGCGGGGGATCCGGCCTCCTGATTGGCCATGTCGCGCCCCGCCCCGCCCGGGATCCCGGGAGCTGTCCGGCCGCCTCGGTGCTGATCCCGCCGCCGCCCACGGGCCGTGAGCAACGCTGAGCGGGCATTATGAGCGGGGGCGTCTACGGCGGAGGTGAGCTAGCCTCGGGCTTCAGGCTCCCCAGCCTGTCGCGGCCTCACCGGCAGCCCTGCACCCCGAACCCGCGCGACCTAAGCTCTGGGCACCCCAGGGCCTGTCACCCGGCGCTCGAACGGGTTTGGGTCCTGCGCCACTCCTACCTTGGTCCTCCCGGTTAGGTCGCTCGCGCGCACTGGGCTCACTCTCCACCATCCAACTCACCTCCTCCCGCACCCCTCCTCCTGCCCCTTCTTTCCCGGCAAAGAGAGTGGCCTGAATAAGGCCACCGGGCAAGAAGGGACTCTGTAGGCTTGAGCCCACTCCCAGGACCCCAGACTCCAGGCCGAGCTCCCACCTGCCCTGGCAAGCGTTGAAGGTGGCGAAACTGTGTCTCTGCCCTGACGTCCTCTCAGAGCTATCCAGGGCCGGGGCGGGGGGAGGGATAGATAGCGGGGAGAGTTTGGAATAAGTCCCCTCATACACCTGTCTCCCTGCACAGATGAGGTGGGGGCGCTGGTCTTTGACATTGGCTCCTTCTCAGTCCGCGCTGGGTACGCTGGAGAGGACTGCCCCAAGGTGAGCTTTTCAGCCCCATCCCCGAGTCCTAGGGGCTCCAGACTCCGCTCCATGCTTCCTAGTGACCCAGGGTTCTCACAACCCAGAGAGAAGCTCTGGAGAGCGGGAATGTGGGAATAAACCCATGGGCGGGCTGAGGACCTTGCCATGGGCCTGGACAGGGGCAGGAGGTTGATCCCTCTTCCTGCCCATGTTCCCTCCAGGCTGACTTCCCCACCACGGTGGGGCTGCTGGCCGCGGAGGAGGGGGGCGGGCTGGAGTTGGAGGGGGAGAAAGAGAAGAAAGGGAAGATCTTCCACATCGACACCAACGCCCTGCATGTGCCTCGGGATGGAGCGGAGGTCATGTCGCCCCTCAAGAATGGCATGAGTAAGGAGCCCCCACCCACCGTCTCCCGCCACAGACCCGGAGCCCACACACCACAACCCGGGACACATCACCCCACACCCATGGAGTCTACCTTGCAGCTGCCCACAGCTGCCTGGTTCCCAGCCCAGGGGCCCGACAGATACCTAGGAAGGGGGGATTTCTGCCGGAACTGATCTCACTTCCCCTCCCCTGGACTTGGCCTCCCTCCTTGCTTTGCTTCCTGTCCCTGGACCCCTGCTGGCCCACCCTCATCTCTCCATGCTGGTCTCCTGGCCCCAGTTGAGGACTGGGAATGCTTCCGTGCCATTCTGGATCATACCTACAGTAAACACGTCAAGTCTGAGCCCAACCTGCACCCAGTGCTCATGTCTGAGGCCCCGGTAAGTGCCTTACCCAAACCCCAGTCCTGCCCCAGGGGCTCCCTGCCTCCTTTCTGCCATTCACTTCTCTTCTCCGCCCTTAAAGCATCTGCCATCCATCATCACTCCACTTAACTTTTCAGACTTTTCTTCCAACTCCACCACCTTCAAGCACTTTTTTCCTTTCTGGTTTTAGTCTTTATCCCTCTCCCTCCTCCTGTTTTATCCATTCATATATTTTACGCATTCTGGCTTATTTTACTGCTGTTTCTCCCCTCCCCCCACCAAAGTCCTTTTTGGATCTTTTAACTTAAAAATTTTGCCAATGTTATATATGTACATAATCAGTTTGCTTTATAAACTATGTTAAGGAAAGAACTACCATTCATATCCCCTTCTTTACATTCCCCTTTTCCAGAGGCACCTGCTTTTCTTTTAGATAAGTTTTATCATGTACTCCATATCTCTAAATATCACACTTAAAATGCTGCTTATGGATTTTACAGTTTCAGGCATTGGTTTCCCACCATAGAAAATCGGTAGAATGTTGGGACTCTTGATTTTGGCTCAGGTCATGATCTCAGGGTCCTGAGATTGAGCCCCACCTGGGGCTTCATGCTGAGCTGGATCCTGCTTGGGATATTCATTCTCTCTCTCCATCTCTCTCTCTCTCTCTCTCTCTCTGCCTATGCCCCTCCCCTGCCTTGGGAATGTGCACACTCTTGAAGGAAGGAAGGAAGGAAGGAAGGAAGGAAACCTTGAGCTCTCTTTCTTCCTTCAGCTCACACCACACACTGCCCTCATCCCCACCTTTAAATATGGTTTTATTTTAAATTTTTTAAAAAATCATTTTCTGGGGCACCTGGGTAGCTCAGTTAGTTAAGTGTCTGCCTTCGGCTCAGGTCATGATTCCAGGGGCCTGGGATCAAGCCCCGCATCAGGCTCAGCTGCTTAGCAGAGAGCCTGCTTCTCTCTCTCCCTCTGCCTGCTGCTCTGTTTACTTGTGCTCTCTCTCTATCTCTCTGTCAAATAAATAAATAAAATCTTTTTAAAAAGTTATAAAAAATCATTTTCTGTATTTACACAGTTATGGTTATGTATGCTAATCAGGTCTGGGATGGGCAATAAACTACTGTCACTTCTCTTTCCTGCACAGCTGTTTTTCCTAGAACTGAATATTGTACTGGTTTTTATTTTGCTTAACTTTCTATTTATTTAATAATATGACCCTAAATTATATATCTGCTTATTACTTATCTGTTTATATTATCTATATCCTTTCTCAAAACATTAACTCCATTAGTTACTCTTTTTTTTTAAAGAATTTATTTATTTGGGGGATGCCTGGATGGCTCAGTTGGTTGGACGACTGCCTTCGGCTCAGGTCATGATCCTGGAGTCCCGGGATCGAGTCCCACATCGGGCTCCCAGCTCCACGGGGAGTCTGCTTCTCTCTCTGACCTTCTCCTCGCTCATGCTCTCTCTCACTGTCTCTCTCTCAAATAAATAAATAAAATCTTTAAAAAAAAAGAATTTATTTATTTGGGGCGCATGGGTGGCTCAGTGGGTTAAGCCTCTGCCTTCAGCACAGGTCATGGTCTCAGGGTCCTGGGATTGAGCCCCACATTGGGCTCTCTGCTCAGCGGGGAGCCTGCTTCCCCCTCTCTCTCTGCCTGCCTCTGCGCCTACTCGTGATCTCTCTCTGTCAAATATATAAATAAAATCTTAAAAAAAATAAGATTTAAAAAAAATGGAGGCACCCCTCCATTAGATATTCTATCAATTTCATCTTCTTGAAGGAATCTCTCCAAAGACCCACTGATTTGCTCCACCTTGGACTTGTTCCCTTCTACACAAAGGAGATAGCTCTCATCCTGACATCTCTCTTCACCTTCTTCTTAAAGCAACCCTTCACCTCTCTCCTATGCTAGAGGTCCTATTTCTTGTATCTCATTACTCCTTTTCTTGATGTACTCCCTTGTTTTCCTGGAGCACATCCTCTAGTAACTGCCTTAGAAAGGTCATGAGAAGTAAAATTTTTAAGACCTTGCATGTCTGACTGTGATTGATAGCTTAGCTAGGTATAACATTCCAGATTGGAAATAATTTTTCTTTAAAATCTTGAAGGTGCTTCTAGCACCTATTGTTGCCATCAAGAAGGCAGAGCCCTGGCGATTCACAGACCTGTACCCCTGGGGATAAAAATACATTATTTGTTAATATAATTTTTTTTTTTAAATTTACTAAACAAAACAAAACAAAACAAAAGCAAAAAAAAAAAAAAAAAAAAAAAGAGGGCAGAGCTATCTAATTCCTGATCTTTTGGTGTAATGTTTTTCTTTGTGAAAGTTTGTAGAATTTTCACTTTGTCTTCAGTGTTGTATAATTTCTCCATATTGTATTGTTTAATTTTCGTCCATTGCTCTAAAAACTCAATATGTCCCTTCAATCTGAAAACCTATGTCTTTCAATTCTGTGAAAAAGTAAGTCAGTAATTATTCAATTAAGTAGTTTTGATTATTTATTTGATGATATATTTCTTTTTAAAAATATTTTATTTATTTATTAGACAGAGAGAGACAGCGAGAGCATAAACAGAGCAGAAAAAGAAGAGGGAGAAGCAGACTTCCCGCTGAGCAGGGAGCCCAATGTGGGGCTTGATCCCAGGACCCTGGGATCATGACCCGAGCCAAAGGCAGACACTTAACAACTTAGCCACCCAGGCACCCCTTGGTGATATATTTCTCTCACTATTCTCTGTTCTGTCTTTTGGAAAATATCATTTGGATTTTGCGCCTCTTGAACTGGTCCTCTCATTTCCTTATCTTTTTTTCTTGTGTTTTCCTTCCTTTTCTCTTTTCCTCTAATTACCAAGATATTCCCTCAACTTTGTTTTCAGCCCTTCTATTGATTTTTTTTCATCTCTCCTCCTGTATTTTCAATTTCCAAGAGCTCTTTTTGTTCCACGAATATTACTTTTTAGGACTTCCAGTCCTTCCTTCATGGGTGCAGTATCATGTGTTTTCTCAGAATAATATTAGTTTTGTTTCTGTTTTGGTAAGTTTTCATTTCCCTGCATGATCTCTGTTCTTCCAAATTGCTTTTTCCCCCTGCCCTTTTTGGGAGGTCTCTATCTCATTTGTGAGACTTTTCTCAGATTTCTGAGAAATCCTTGGTTGTGTGCTTATGTTTGCAAGTGGTGGACTGAAACACTGGTTGGAGGCTCTGTGGGATGGGGCACTCGTTGACTGTCATGATAAAGGATGTTGCTACAGGATGACTTGCCTGGGATGATTGTTAGGAAGCCTCTGATAATTGGCGTCTTTAGATCTCTGATGTAACCCATGGGGAAGACTTGTACCCTACAGACAGGACTGGCCATCCCCTTTCTGGGAGCCAAGTGAGGGAATAGGGCTAAGGTTATCACCATTTAATATGCATGGAATCACTTACTTCTCCTCTTTTAAGTATAATGTCTTCACTCCTGACTGTGTCAAGTGTCTCACCAGGACAGAGACCCTCAGTTTTACTCTAGGGAATAAACTTCCAGTCTTCTGCAGAGTTTGGGGTGGGTACTATCCTAGTGACATGGAACTGGGGAGAGAGTTTTGGGAGCTGTCACTTGAATGGCTTTAAACAATCTTATTTTAGCTTACTCTTGACCTTAACTGCCACAAGTACTCAAAACTACCAATTCCTGAACCCTCTGAGGATTCTACAGTTTGACACAGGTTGTTCCTGGCTTTTTCCACTACCAGCTTAGGAATCCATGTTCTTGAATTTGTTGTCAGTTACCACTTAACTATCTGATTTCCAACCTTCAAAACTATGTTGCTGTTTTTTCCTTCCTTATTATTCCCAAACCTTGAGGGTGTCTCTCTATCTCTTCTTCTCTCTCTTTTTTGAGGTAAAATTCACACAACAGAAAATTAACTTTTTTAATGTTAACAATTCAGTGGCATGTAACACATTCACAATGTTGTGTAGCCATCATCTTTATCTAGTTCCCCAACATTTTCACCACCCCAAAAGAAGTACATTTTCTTTTTTTTAAAAAGATTTTATTTATTTATTTGAAAGAGAGAGAGATCACAAGTAGGCAGAGAGGCAGGCAGAGAGAGAAGGGGAAACAGGCTTCCAGCTGAGCAGAGAGCCTGATGCGGGGCTCGATCCCAGGATCCTGAGATCATGACCCGAGCCGAAGGCAGAGGCTTAACCCACTGAGCCACCCAGGTGCCCCAGAAAGTACATTTTCATTAACCAGTTTCTCTCTACTCTCCCTCCCCTTGGCAACCATCAGTCTGGTTTGTGTCTCAATGACTGTATCTATTCTGGATCTTTCTTATAAATGGAATCATACAATATGTGACTTCTCATGTCTGTATTCTGTCACTTAGCATAATATTTTCAAGGTTCATCCATGCTGTAGCATTTATTCAGCATTTTATTCTGTTTCATGGCTGAGTAGCATTGCATTGTATGGCTGTACCACAATTTGTTTTTCTAATTTATCCACTCATGGATTTTTGGGTTGTTTCCATCTGTGGCTATTGTGGATAGTGCTGTTTTGAATAGTTGTGTATGTGGATTTATTTCAGTACCTGTTTTCAGTTATTTTGGATATATAACTAGGAGTGGAATTGCTGGGTCATATGGTAATTCTGTGTTTAACTTTTTGAGAAACTGATTGTTTTCCATAGTGGCTGAAAAATTTCACCTTCCCACAGCAATGTACAAGGGTTTCAGTGTTTCTATGTCCTTCTTTTTTCCTTAATTATTATCAACACTGTAGTGGGTATGAAGTGGTATCTCATTGTGCTTTCAAATTTCATATCCCTAATGACTAACAATGTTGAGCATCTTCTCATGTGCTGGTTAGCTTTTGTGGCTTTGTGTCCTTTTTTTTTTTTTTTAAGATTTCCTAATTTATTTTAGAGAGAGAGAGAGCACAAGCAGGAAGGGCAGAGGGAGAGGGAGAGAGAATCTTGAGCAGACTCTGCGCTGAGTACACAGCCTGATGAGGGGCTTGATCTCACAACCATGAGATCATGACCTGAGACGAAACCAAGAGTCAGACACTTAACCAACTGCACAACCCTGGCACCCCGCCCCCCTGTTTTAAAAAGTAACCTCTATGCCCAAAGTAGGGCTTGAACTCATGACTCCAAGATCAAGAGTTGAGTACTCTACCAACTGAGCCAGCCAGGTGCCATGGGTTTATATCTTTTTAAATTGTGCCCCCTTTTTAAAATTTTATTTATTTATTTGAGAGAGAGACAGAGAGAGAGAAAGCATGAGCAGGGGGAAAGGCAGAGGGAGAGGCAGACTTCCCGCTGAGCAGGGAACCTGAAGCAGGGCTCGATCCCAGGACTCTGAGATCATGACCTGAGCTGAAGGCAAACGCTTTTAACTGAATGAGCCACGCAGGTGCCCCTAAATTACCCCTTTTGCTGGGATCTTGGAAGAGGATAACATTGGATGTTTTAATTCAACCCACAATTCCTACCAGAAATCCTCTTCTCCGCTTTCTTGCCTCTGAGATGCTGAAAGTGAGGAAAAGAGGGATAAACTGGAGGCTGAAAGGAGTCAAAGTATATATGGTACAATAATGAACGGTGGCCAGAAGTCAAGAGACTATGACTCTACCAAGCTCTATCAAGGGCTTTCTTTGTATGTGAACTTGGTCAAGTCACTCTCCCTGAGCTTTTATTTTTTCAGCTGGGTTTGGATTGTAACCTTTGAAATTCTTCATAGCTCTCACACTCTAAAGGTCTGTGCAGATCAAGAGACTTGATCTCTGTCCCCAGTCCAAGTTTGTGTGTGTGTGTGTGTGTGTGTGTGTGTGTGCGCGCGCGCGCGCGCGTTTCTGTGCCTCTCCCTTTTTGAAGCCTCCCTTCCTGCACTTTCTCCCCAGTGGAACACACGGGCCAAGCGGGAGAAGCTGACAGAGCTGATGTTCGAGCAGTACAACATTCCTGCCTTTTTCTTATGCAAGACGGCTGTGCTCACCGCGTATCCTCTGGCAGGAGCTGCTCTGGCTGGGTGGAGGGCCAGGGTGGGGATTGCGGTGTGTGGAGCAGGAGGCTGGACCTGATTCTGTGGAGATAGTGTCCTGGAGGGGAAGACACCCACCTTGTACCCCATTAGTGCAGAAGGACCCCTGTGGGCTAAGTGCCTTTGACCCTGGGGTGGCCAGACCAGCAGCTCTTTCCTATTCCTTGGATCAGGCTGAACTGGGGTGGGGAGTTGGGGTGGGAGAGAGTGGGACCACATTGACAGCAGGGGCTGGGACTGGAGAGAACAGGGAGAAATATCTAACATTGAGGAGTTTCCTCCACAAACAGCCAATCAGCATTCATTTTTTAAAGTCTCTGCCTTGCACTGGCCCCTGTGCTAGGTGCTGGGGCAATAGGGTCCCTCATCTCAAGGTGCCCACAGAGCACTGAACAAAGACTAAAGAGAAACTGGGAGGGCAGAAGGAAGGAGAAAGAGGAAGAAGTTGTGATTCAGACAGGGAAGAAGAGACCGGGGTCTCAGGAATCTTTCTCCAGTGATGGGTCATAAGCCAGAATGAGAGATTTGCAGACTGTGGATGGGCTGGACCAGGAAAGCAGAGAGTGACCAGGCCAGACCTGAGCTCCAGTCCCCTCACTTGCTGCTGCTATCTCTTTGACCTACCCATCCCACACCAGCTTTGCAAACGGACGTTCCACGGGCCTGGTGCTGGACAGTGGGGCCACCCACACCACAGCCATCCCAGTACATGATGGCTATGTCCTGCAACAAGGTGGGGGCCTCGACAGGGGTCGGGGATGCTTTGGTTGGCGGGGAGGGGATCCAACCCCTAACACCCCCTCCCTTTCCAGGCATCGTCAAGTCTCCCCTGGCAGGGGACTTCATCTCCATGCAGTGCCGGGAGCTCTTCCAGGAAATGGCCATCGATATCATCCCACCTTACATGATTGCAGCAAAGGTGGGGTCTCCGGGGAGTCTTGGGCACTCACCCTGTGACTGTTGACTCACTGACCCGCTAGATATCAGAGCAGGGAGCATCAGGGTCCCCAGAGGACCCTGGATCCAGTTCCTTAATTTATAACCGAGGCATTGGAGATCGGACCGGCTGAAGGATGTGGCCAAGGTCATACAGCCAGCTGGTAGCAGGATGTATGAGGGCAAGCGGGATAGACCCAGGTTCAAAGTCTGCCTTTGCCATGTGAGCACTGTGCCACCCCGAGCAGGAGATCAAAGCTCCCCATACCTTGGTTCTTCCCCTGCGAAGTGGCATTAACAGCATACAGGGCTGCTGGGAGTGCTGAGACACTGCCTACAGGGGTTCACCCTGGACCCCCACATGGAACATGGCTCAGGAAAAGGCTGCTTCTTTAAGGTTCTGGTCTCCCACTGTATTCCCCGCGCCCTCAGCTTTCTCTGGCTGGGGCCTTTCAGATCAGCTGTCCCTGCTGCATGAGTGGCGGACATGGGGACAGGCTCTCCCTGTTCTCTCTCCTTTGACAGGGAAGGAGGAGAGACCCCTTTTGTAGGCAACAGAGCAAAGAACCCAGTGCCTGTTAGTGGCAGCAGCACAGGTGTGGTCGGGGTGGGCTGGACAGGGGTGGAGTGGAGGAAGGGTGCTCAGAGGCTTTGTGCCCCCACAGGAACCCGTACGGGAGGGCGCCCCTCCGAACTGGAAGAAGAAGGAGAAGCTACCCCAGGTTTCCAAGTCCTGGCATAACTACATGTGCAACGTGAGGAGAGAGTCCCCCGAAACAGCCCCAGGCCCTCCCCAGCTCCTAGTCCCCTGCCATGAGTAGAGGGGAAGGGACAGGGAGGCCTGGCAGGTGGGCAGCTTGGGGATGCTGCGGAGAGAGCCCGGGCCCTGACCAGCTCCCTGGGTCCTCAGGAGGTGATTCAGGACTTCCAGGCCTCTGTGCTGCAGGTCTCAGACTCTCCCTATGATGAGCAGTAAGTGGCACCCCCGGCCCAGGGGTGGGCAAGAGGGCAGGTCTGGGACTCTGGGGGTGCCCCTGGTCCTCTGTGAGCACCCCCAGACAGAGTCTCTCTCTTTCCTGGTCAGGGTGGCTGCACAGATGCCCACAGTGCACTACGAGATGCCCAACGGCTACAACACAGACTACGGTGCGGAGCGGCTCCGCATTCCAGAGGGCCTGTTTGATCCCTCCAATGTCAAGGTTGGCCCCCAGGGGAGGTATTGGTTAGGGGCTGGTTGGATTCCCCAGAGGCCGGCGTGTTGTGGGGGGGGGGGTGCTGGGAAGGATCCCTGGGGTCTGGGGAGAGAGGGCAGAGGCCCCAAAGCCCAGGTCACCTTTCTTGGCAGGGCCTGTCGGGGAACACCATGCTGGGTGTGGGCCACGTGGTGACCACCAGCATCGGCATGTGTGACATCGACATCCGCCCGGTGAGGCCCGAGTCTGTGTCTGGGCAGAGGGGCCCGGGAGCCGCGGGGAGACTGGCAGGGGCTGGGCCCTGAGGGCGCGCTCCTCTCTGCCCCCAGGGCCTGTATGGAAGTGTGATCGTCACCGGTGGGAACACGCTGCTCCAGGGCTTCACGGACAGGCTCAATCGAGAACTTTCCCAGAAGACCCCGCCGGTAGGGGACCGCCCCGACCGGGGTCCTGGCTTAGCTCTTCAGGACCCCGTCCTTCCTCCTTCCCCAATAGCAAGGCTTCTGGCCACCAGAGCAGACCCCTCCCCCTGCGGCTTCCCAGACTTCCCCACTTCCAGCCCTGTCCCTTCCCGGAACCCAGGTGTCTGCTTCCCCCAGCCCCTCTTTCCCCCCAGAGCATGCGGCTGAAACTCATCGCCAGCAACAGCACCATGGAGCGCAAGTTCAGCCCCTGGATCGGGGGCTCCATTTTGGCCTCACTGGTGAGAGGGAAGGGGCCCTGGCTGTGGGAAAGGGGCAGACCCACACAGCCCCATCCCCTTGCTTCCTTATTCGCTCATTCAACAAATATTTATTTACTTAAAGATTTTGTTTATTTGACAGACAGAGATCACACGTAGGCAGAGAGGCAGGCAATGAGAGAGAGGGGGAAGCAGGCTCCCCGCTGAGCAGAGAGCCCCATGCGGGGCTCGATCCCAGGACTCTGGGATCAGGGCCTGAGCTGAAGGCAGAGGCTTTAACCCACTGAGCCACCCAGGCGCCCCAACAAATATTTATTTTTGAGAAAGAGTAGTTAGTGCTCCCAGAAGGGTGACTCTGCCATCAGGACAAATCAGGGAGGACAGGAAGCTGGAGAGACTGGTGGGGGTTGAGACTGTGGCTGAGGCTCCCACTGTACTAAGCAGAGGGGAGACACTGAAGGTTTGGGGAGAGGAAGAAGCGTGACAGTCCCAGTCATGTTTGGGAAGACTACGTCAGGCATGAGTCTCTGGAGATCAGGGTGTGAGCTGCACACGGGGGACCTTGAGAGGATGCTCCTTCCATTGTCCAGGAGTCACAGAGTGAGTAGCAGTGAGGGACGGGGGTGGTGGGTAAGAGGCAGATAGAGGGAGATAGGCAGGCTGGTTCTGGGGCAGTAGGCGGGGAGTTCTGTCTGGGCCTGCTGTTGGGCACAGGCAAGACACTGAGCGGGGAGCTGGAGGTGAAAACTTCAACTCACGGTGTCAGTCACACCGAGGAGACAGCGGGGCCGTGACAGAGCGGGAAGGACATCTCCTAGAGGGGCGGCCCCCAGGGAGACAGACAAAGGTCAGAAATACAGGAAGCCGGGGCGCCTGGGTGGCTCAGTGGGTTAAGCCTCTGCCTTCAGCTCAGGTCATGGTCTCAGGGTCCTGGGATCGAGCCCCACATTGGGATCTCTGCTCAGCAGAGATAATATATAAATAAATAATAAAATCTTTTAAAAAAAGAAAAAAAGAACGACAGGAAGCTGACAGTGCAAAGTCAGCTGGGGGCTGGGAACCTGTCAGCCATACAGTTCCAGCGGCCCCACCTACGTGCCCGACCTAGTCCCCGCTCCAGGGGCAGGCCATTAAACAAAGTGTGGGGTGTTCCTACAAGGGGGGACCTGATCTAGTTCAAGGGTCACGAAGGGCCTCCTAAGGAGCATTCAGGCTGAGATGGAAGACTAAGAACTCTCGAGGCAAAGAGGGAGAGACGGTGCCTGGGCTATGGAAAGAGGCAGGCAAGACCTAGGCGATGGGCAGACGCGGTCGGACTGGAGGGCAGGAAGCTCACCGGGGCAGCTGAGTGGAGAGCGGCTTGAAGAGGGCTGCTGTGGTCTCCACTGTGCCAGGGGCTTGACAGAGGAGTGCATGTCAGGCTGTGGAACCTGGAGCTCATCACAGGTCCAACGGACGGGATGCGGGCATCATTTGGATCAAGAAGATAGAGGGAAGGAGCCCAGAATGACACCCAGGGTGCTAGCTCCTGGCAGCTGTGTCCAACAGGAATGTAACGCAAGCCACACATCCAACTTCAAATTTTCTAGAAGCCGTATTTTAAAAGAGCCCCAAGAAGCAGGAGAAATTAAGTTTAGAGAATATACTTTGTTTGGGACGCCTGCCTGGCTCAATTGGTAGAAATGCGAATCTTCATCTAGGGATTGTGAGTTCGAGACCCATATTGGGTGTAGAGATTACTTAAAAACGGAGTCAGCCAGATGTCCCTCCTTTAAAAAAAAAAAAAAATCTTAAAAAAAATGCACCTTATTTATATCCAAAATGTTATCATTTCAATATGTGATCAATATAAAAATGAGATTTTAAAAAATATTTTATTTATTTATTTGACGGACAGAGATCACAAGTATGCAGAGAGGCAGGCAGAGAGAGAGAGGGGGAAGCAGGCTCCCCGCTGAGCAGAGAGCCCAATGCGGGGCTCGATCCCAGGACCCTGGGATCATGACCTGAGCGGAAGGCAGAGGCTTTAACCCACTGAGCCACCCAGGCGCCCCTAAAAATGAGATTTTTTACATTCTCTTTCCTGGACTTAGTCTTCAGTATCCGTAGTGTATTTTATAACTGTAGAGCACATCTCAATTCCGACTAGCCACCTTTCAGGTGCTCCATGACCACTGTATTGGCCAGCGCTAGTGTAGAAGGTGAGAGAGACCACCGGAGCAGGTCTGGGTCAGGCCTAGGGGAGCTCAGTGGTGCACATGCTGAGTTTGCAGTCCTGAGGGACTCAGAAGGAAGTGTCCAAAAGACAGCTGAGTATTTGGGTCTAGTATTCGGGTTCAGCAAAGGGAGGTTGAGGGAGGGGTGGAGTTTTAGTACCTGAGCAGAAGTCCTAGGAGTGGATGAGCTGGTTCAGGACGGCTTGGACTGTGAGCCCAGGAGAGAAAGAGGGACAGTACCAGGGACCCAGGCACCAGCTTTCAGGAAGAGATGAAGCAACCATCAAAGAAGGGACAGTCCGAGATGCCCAGCACAAGAGACCCTCAAGGGGCAAGATTCAATGTGGGGGTGGCGTGTAGAATAAAGACAACTCCAGTGAGGGCAGAGGAAAGATTCTTCTTGGGAATGTGGGAGACTGGACAAGTTTGTAAGGCTTGATGGAGTGACAGGTACAGGAGGAACTGGGGTGCGGGGAGGCTGGTTGGCCTGAGGCTGTAAGCTCCACTACCCAGCTCTAGCCCAGCGCAGGGCCCAGGGCAGACAGATGTGCAATAAATACTTGTTGAATGAATGAATGAACGTCATGACTGAACAACGTGAGCGGGGGTATTCACCCTCTGAATTTGAAGGAGGGCCGGGAGGCTTGGGGAGGTCCCTGCGGGTGGAAAGGCCGGGGTCCGGGGGCAGGAGAAGGGTTTCCAAGGGGCTGGGCCTGCACAGGTGGAAAGTGGGAGGGCGCGACCCCCCCTCTTCCTCCAGGGACGTCCTGATGGCCTCTGTCGTCTCCCCCTCTCCCCTTCCCAGGGCACTTTCCAGCAGATGTGGATCTCCAAGCAGGAATATGAGGAGGGAGGGAAGCAGTGCGTGGAGCGGAAGTGCCCCTGAGGGCGCCCCCTCAACACCCACACGTCCTCCTGCCGCGCGCCGTCCGCCGAGGTGGGGTAGGGGACGCCAAAGGCGGGGAGAGGGTTTCCCGGCTCGGCCTCCGCCGGCGCAGATCAAAACCCCCACCCTCCAAGCCCTCGTCTCTACCCCTCCCTTCTCGTCCGCTTAGATTGTGATGTTTCTGGGTTGAAAGGAGTAAAAATGTTTTAAGAAAACAAAGTTTGGCCTCCTTGGGCCGGGGTTGGGGTGGCGGGAGTGGGGACAGGAGGGCTGGGGGGAGGCGAGGAGAGGGCTACACCTACGTCCCTTGGTGATCCCGCGGTGGACGCCGGGGCAAAGTCTGCGGGCCGGGGCAGAGCCCCGGGAGCCACAGGAGCCTGGAAGCCTCAAGTTTCAAAGGGACCGCGACCCAGGGAGGATCACGCAGCGAGGATCCGGCAGAAGCCCGCGAGAATGGGCCCCCAGCTAGGAGCGGAGTTGGGGCGGCAACTGGTGCTGGAGCCCCGACCCTGAGGCAGGGGTGGGCGGAGCCGGGGGCCAGTCCCGGAGCTGGGCTTGGGCGGGGCCTGAGGCTGGGGCTGCGGTGGGCGGGGCCTCAGGTGGGAGGCGGTGCCTAAGCCTCAGCCGACCTGCGCTCAGGTGAGCCCGGCTGCGCTGCGTCTTCCTTCGGGTCTTGGTGGCAAGAATGGGGCGGGATCTGGGGCACTAGTGCGCCCCAGCAGCTCTGAGTTTCTCTCCCAATTTGTGTAGGAGCTGAGGTTTCCTAAGGGAGACCCTGACACGGGGCCCCTGAGCCCTTCTATTCCAGAGCACTTTTCTGGGGGTCCTCGCTAGGGCTTAGGGACGAGCACCCCTGTGTGAAATTCTGGGTAAAATTTAGAAGTTTGTGCCTGTGATGTGTTCCTGGGGTGCCCAGACCCAAAAGAGGTAGAAATCAAGTCCTCCTGTCACCATAGAGACATAGGTGCCCAGAGAAGGCCATGAGTTGTTGAAGGTCATCCAGCTGTGCTCAGGCCTTGACCAGGACTCTTTCCACCAATGCCTCGTGGACCTCGACCCGCAGATCCTGAAGAACCCCGAGCACTCACTGGTCCCTCTTGACCTTATGCTCCCACCCATGCCCCTCCCTGCCCAGAAGTTAATAGCTTGAGACACACTTCTCAGCCTGATTCCAATGAGACAGTCATCTGCAGAGCCAGACCAACCCCCAGGTCACACCATTGTGACAAATTCAGTTAAGGATTGCTTGGGGGCAGGTGTTGGAGCTGGGAACTAATGTGTTACAAGGCCCGGCTGTGCACTCTGTGCACTTGCTTTGTGGGCCTGCAAGCCGGATGACTTGAGGGGGAGCAAGGTTTTCATGGTGGGGAGCTTAGGAAGGGGTTCCCAAGGACAGTGGGAGGGGTGGAAGCAGGAGACAGCATCCTTATCTTTTTGCCCTCCCCAGCCATCAGTCCCCCTCCCCCACCCCTGACCGGAACTAGGAGGCCAAAGTCTGCCCCAAGGTCAAAAAAATTGATTGTTTTGCAGGGAAGGGGCAGGAGTGGGACTGTGGAGGGATTGGCAGGGGACGGCACAGCCCCTTGTCCTCTAGCCTGGGCTGGGGGTTCATATCTGGAAGGCTGGACTGAGGCCAGGACAGTGCCCCCACCCCTTCGGGGGGAGAAGAACGGCTTGGGCTCAGGCTGCCTGCCAGGGCTGATAAGGGGCCCTCTTGGGGCTCCCACAAACGGTTTATCACTGTGGGGGGAACGGCCCGCAGGGCTCAGGAGGGGGCATGAGCATGGAGCGACTTTGGGGTCTACTTCAGAGAACGGTAAGACCAAATGGGTTGGGGGACACTTTAGGCCTTCTCTCCAGGTCCTTCCACCCCCTCCCAAACCCCAAGGCTGGTCCCTCCCCTTCCCACCTCCATCTCTCCCCTCCAGCTTGCCTCTGGGGACCCTTTCCCCTGCCTTGTGCTCCTTTGGCACTCCAGAGTCACTGACTGTTATGGCCAGATCCTACCCCCCCGTGCCTCTTTCCCCAGTCTCATGCCCACCGTGCCCCCACCCCCTGCAGCAAAGGTTGTCCCCACGACCCTCTCAGACCATCTACAAGCGTGTGGAGGGCACCCAGCAGTGGCGCCTGGAGGAGGAAGAGGAAGACGGGGAGGAGGGGGCTGAGCCAGCAGCCCACTTCTGCCCCATGGAGCTGAGGGGCCCTGACCTGGGCTCTAGAGCAGGGAGGCAAAACCTTGGACTCTGGGCAGCAACAGGACGAAAGGCTGCCCCCTACCTGGTCCTGACAGCCCTACTGATCTTCACTGGGGGTGAGAATCTTCCCGCCCCCACCAGGGAAGGGCCTGGGTTGGGGGGATTTATGGAGTCCGGAGCGGGGCGCAAGGGGAGTCTCCATCTTGCCATCCCCCAGCTTTCCTTCTGGGCTACGTGGCCTTCCGCGGGTCCTGCCAGGCATGTGGGGATGACGTGTTGGTGGTCAGCGAGGACGTAAACTATGAGCCGGGCCCAGACTCCCACCAGGGCACATTGTACTGGAGCGACCTCCAGGCCATGTTCCTGCGGTTCCTGGGGGAGGGGCGCCTGGAGGACACCATCAGGTAGGGATCAGCCTGTCCCCTTCCCCTGGCCTTGAAAACCCTCATTCACTTGGTTGGACTCTGCTTCCTTTCCTCTCCTCCTAGGACCCTGATGTGGGGTCCCTTCTGAGTCCTTCCTCTCGCCTCCCTGCCTCCCTGTTCAGTGGTCCTGGGAAGGATGTATGTTTGGAGCCCAGGGGAGAGAGAGTGTTCTGGAGATAAGAGGGCAAAGGGCTCGGGGTCTGAACAGCACGCTTGGGAGATTCGGGAGTGAATGAGTGAGAACAGAGGGGGCCAGTATCCAGATAGGAGGCAAGACAGATCCAGAAAAGTCCTGAATGCCACATCACGGAACATGGATTTTGACTTGGGACTGTGGGGAGCTCTAGGGGCCGGGGGCAGAAGAAGGGGGCGGGGAGCTCTGAGGAGGGATATTTAAAGGAATCAGAAAAAAAAAAAACAAGAAACAAAAAAAATGAGAAAGCAAATGCATTCGAGAGCATAAACCATCCCCCTCCATCTACGTTACTGGGAGAGAGATGCCAGCCAGTTGCAGACCACACGGGGTTTCTCTTGTTTTGCTGAGGTCACTTTCCCCATTGGGAAGGAGCTGCCCAGCCAGGTCCAGAGAAGAGGTAGGGCCACCAGGAGCACTGTCTTGGGTCAGGAATAGTATTTCAGTGGATTCTCCTGGGGTTTCTAAGTAGAAGCTCACATAAGCTATAGACAGTGAGAGATACATAGTTTCTTTCTCAGTGGTTATGCCCTTTCTTTTTCATTGCTTTATCACATTAGAGAGGACATGAATTTAGGTAATGATGACAGGAGATAGGCCTGTCTTATGACTTGCATAGAAATTTTTTTTTAAATTTTTTTTAAAGATTTTATTTATTTATTTGACAGAGATCGAGGGAGAGAGAGCGAGCGAGCACAGGCAGACAGAGAGGCAGGCAGAGGCAGAGGGAGAAGCAGGCTCCCTGCCGAGCAAGGAGCCCGATGTAGGACTCGATCCCAGGACCCTGGGTTCATGACCTGAGCCGAAGGCAGCCGCTTAACCAACTGAGCCACCCAGGAGTCCCGGCTTTTTAAAAAAAACGAATCAAAGAAGTTTCCTTCTACTCCTAGCTTTCTTCTCCTTTATCTTCTTCCTCCTCTCCGTCCTCCTCCTCCTCTTTCTTCTTCATGATCAGGAAAGGAAGGACAGGTTCGGATTTTTTTTTTAAGATATTATTTATTTATTTGACAGACAGAGATCACAAGTAGGCAGAGAGGCAGGCAGAGAGAGAGGAAGGGAAGCAGGCTCCCTGCTGAGCTGAGAGCCCAACATGGGGCTCGATCCCAGGGTCCTGGGATCATGACCCAAGCCGAAGGCAGAGGCTTTAACCCACTGAGCTACCCAGGTGCCCCTGGATTTTTTTTTTCAAATATTTTCCCAGAATGTACTGAAACGATCATCTGATTTTTTTTGCTTCAATTTATGTCTGTATGTTTTTAGTGTATGTTTCTGTCGTAATTGGTATTGATAGATTTTTCTCGTCTTCATGGGATCAGTGTGAAACTTGATTGAGGTGTATTACTACTCTTTGGATACACTGAACCCACCTTGCTTAAAGACCTTGCGTCTGTGCCTTCAACAACATGCGGGGCCTCCTCATTTCTTGAGCAAGAGTCGGTCTTCTGGGTGCAGGCTGAGCAGGCGGATGGCTTGTCAGGTCCCACAGGCAGGTGTGGCACCGGGGATGCCATCAGAGGGCAGGGAGGCAAGAGGGGGATGGTGAGGGGGGCGAGCAGTGAAGTGATCCACCATTCCAGGGTGGATGGAGAAGGAAGGAACGGGATAGTCTGGAGCCCTCAGTGGGGCTGAAAAGCAGGCATAGCGGAGGGTCAAGATGCAAGCCGGAACCTGGAAAGATCTAGTCAGAGAGTGGGATATTGGAACTTTTAAGATTTATCGGATCTCCCGTGTTCTATTTATCTGCATGTGTCCAGCACCTAGCACAGGGCCTGGCATTTAAGTTGGTGCTCAGTAAATCCCCAGTGGGTAAAGATTCCGGAGGTGGAATTCTGAGTAACCACAAGCCCGATGGGGGTGTGTCAAGGGAAGTGAGCGGCTAGACTCAGTGACACTGATGAGGTCATTCATTCATTTATCCACCAAATGTCTTTGAGCCCGTACTATGTGGCAGGTGCTCGGCTAAGTAGGTGGGGTTAGTGGAGGAGAGAACAAAAGTCTGGGCCATGTCCTTATGAAGCTTACAGCCTGTGGGGGAGAATCAGTACTGAACAAATAATCACTTTCATGACAATGTATTTATTACCACGGTCACTGTTTTGAAGGAAAAGTAAAGGATGTGGGGAATGACTATAACCAGGGGGCCCCGGCTTAGATTGGGGGCCAGGGAAGGCTTTCTGGAGGAGGTGATGAGCTGAAGCCTGAGGGGTGAGTTGTTCATGGGCAAAGAGAAGGTAGAAAAGCATTTCAGGTCAGAGAAGAGTAGGTGCAAAGGGGCTGGGGTGGGAAATGGTGGCTTCTTGGAGGAAGTGAAGGAAGGTCCATGTGGTTGTCTGAAGGAGAGCAGAGGGGTCCAGTATCCAGACAAGTGGTGGGACAGACCCAGAAAAGTCTTGAAGGGCCCATCAT